AAGGCTGTCCGCCATTTTTTTTGTCCGCCATTTTTTTCCCCTTTTCCAGCGGGTGCCTTACCTCCCTTGGGCTGGGCCAGCTGGTGGTCGGCCTGCTCCGTCTCTGCCGCTTGCCAGCTACGCCTCGGCCGGCGCAGGGGGCGGAACCACGCATGCGCGGCGCTCCCGGGCAGGGAAAGTCCTCGACTTACGACCGGTTTAGTCCTCGACTTACGACTGGTTGGGGTCGCGGCATTAAAAAGGTTGAGAACCACTGCTCTAACCTTTCCAGCTTGGCAGACCAGCAGGGGAGGGCAGGCAGAGGAGACGGTTCTGTGCATAGGCAGGCAAGCATGCACAGCTCCATTTGCACAAGCAGGCATGTGAGCCTGCCATTCGCACAAATGGAACTGCGCACAAATGCTCACCTGTCCACTGCACGCACAAGTAGAGCTGCATGTGCGTACTCGCCCACCGCTTCCACAGCCTGGTTCTGAACAGGCCACGGCCCGGTAGTGGGCTATGGGCCTGGGGTTGGGGACCCCTGTACTACAGTACACCCTTCCTTTCAGATCACCTACAGCAGAGCTTCTTAAGTTTCATGCCCTGGACCCTTCCTTAGAAAAAGAATTTAAATGCATAAGGAAATGCTGTACAGGTGTAACTTGTTTGACAAAGGAAAGCAGATACGCTCAAATACAATTATCAAAATGTTACAAATAACAAATATGTGATATAATAATATACAGCATGCGCTTCTTTATTAATCCATCAAATCACTACTAAGGCAATACAAGTAGTTCTCCACCTACGGCCACAACTGAGCCCAGATTCTTGGTTGTTGAGCAAAGCAGTTGAGACACGCGACCGCTTTGCTCAACGATCGCAATCCCAGCTCTCCCAGTTGCCGTCATTAAGCAGACCGTTGGAGAATAGGGCCCGGGCCTCCCAAGCATGGTGGGATGGAGAGAGGATCTGGGCCTCCCATCACACCCAGGAGTCCTAGGTCCTCTCCCCACCATCGTAAAATGTTGGTGTTCGCTAACATTTTTGCCAGATTTAAAATCCGTTCTTCAGCATACACAGGTGTCTGGGGAATTCTGGGCGTTAAACCCACACATCTGAAAGTGGCCAGAGTTAAGAAACACTGATTTACAAGACTATCATGTCCTGACTGTCTCTCCACATCCCATCAAATCTGACAGGAGGAACATGCTCTGGGTGCCAATGGTTAAGCAGTGCTTTCTTTCTAGAGCAGAAAACATGCCTTTTCTGACACAGCACCTGCCTTTTGCAACCTCGTCCCCCCACCAAATTAGATTGGCCCCAATCCTGCAACTTTTATAAAGCCTTAAGGCTTTGGATCTGTTCTTAAGCACAGAGACCAGACTGTTGATTGGAGCCCATGAGATTGCTGATTGTTTGCAAATTCTTCCTTGGTCACTATTACAGTACTGGGGCTTTGTTACCTGAATTTTTATTTTAAATGCTGTTATCTGCACAGAGTTAATGCAGTGATATCAGTGGGTATATAAATCAAACAAATTAATAAGGCACAGACCAACTAGCTGGAGATACTTACGAGCCTCCAATGATATAGTTGAATCCCAGGATAACCCATGGCAGATAGCATGCCTAGGAAAACAACAACACATATATGTTTATCATAACGAACCTGAAGGACAAGATTATTCTTTCACCTCATGTGCTAAGGTNATAAGTGGAGGATTACCTGTCAAGGGGGTGTGGCTAAATTTCAGCCTCCATTTCAGGACAGGGATATATCTTTACCTTTGGCTTTATATCCAACTCTCCCTGCTATTCCCTGCAGATCTCTGTTAATGCAAGTCTTGAGTTCTCTCTCAGCTTTCTCTTTTCTACTTGTTTTCCAACAGCTAGTGAAAAACAGATTTTACTCCCAGGACACTTTCCTTAGCTGCTGAACAGGCCACGCATCCTCAGAGATGAAGGTTCCTTACGTTCTTAGCTCATTAAACTTAATTTTATTTTTAAAACTATCTCAAATTCTCTTCTCCTTTATTGATTCAAACTGGAAACGAGGGGATTTTGCTTTTCTGCTTAGCCTGTGAGAGTGTTCTTACCCAGGAGTCAGATGATCCTTGTGTGCCAAGGCTGAGATTACTAATTACCACAAAGCACATTGGTGTGATGCCATATCTATCTCTGAAATAGATGATTAAGAAAAGCATCTAGTGGCCTAGCCCTATGTCCCAGAGTCAGCTCCCACTGATCACAAGGACATCAGTTATTTTGCTACAGACTTATTCCTTGCTTTCTTTAATTTCTGTGACAGAGAAGCCATAGTGCACCCCAAATGCTGCCCTTGGATATTCCAGGTGTCCAACAGCTTCATGGGCAGGAAACCTCAACATCTGAGTTAAGCCTCATCTTTGGGGTCCTTTCTCTTGTGTTAGTAAGAAAGCCAGTTTGGTTTAGTGCAGGGGTAGGCAACCTTGGCTCTTTTATGACTCGTGGACTTCAACTCCCAGAATTCCTGAGCCAGCCACGCTGAGGGGAAAGGGAGAGGTTTCCAAGCTGAGCCATGCTGGCTCAGGAATTCTGGGAGTTGAAGTCCACGAGTCATAAAAGAGCCAAGGTTGCCTACCCCTGGTTTAGTGGCTAAAAGCCAGGAGATGGTGAGTTCTAGTCCTGCCTTAGGCATGAAGGGTGGCTGAATGACTTTGAGCCAAATCACTAGGTGACTGTGAGTTTTAGTTGCACCTTAGGCATTAAGGACAGCTGGGTGATTTTTGGCCGATCACTCAGCCACCCCACCTCATAGGATTGTCGTGGGGAAAATAGGACAAGGAAATAATATTAGGTACGTTGACTGCCTTATCTAGAAATGATAAAGGTGGGATAAAAAATAAATAAATAAAAAGCAATCATTATAGCTCTGGAAGGAGAATGGAAGACAGACCCTCCGCAAGGGTTCTTGTACATGCAGTGCTCCTTCAATTTTAAATTAGAAAAGCACCACTTAGTTGTAAACGTAATATAAACAGAGAGCATTTTTAAGCAGAAGTTAAAGAACAAAGAGGGCAAGGCAGACAAACTCTGGAGCCTGTTGCCATTAAAGCAACATTTCAGGAAAATAAAGGTGGAAGTGAGCCAATTTTGCATTTGGGAGCTTGTAATAGTTTTGACTGAATCAACGTTTCCTATTTGTCTATGCCAGAAACAAAACACAGATGAAATGTAGCACCTGACCTAATTATGTATCCATCCATCGGAAAAAAAATGTGCCTGGGTCTCATTACTGCCACTGTACTTTTGTTTTCAATGTTAATTAGACTAACGTCTCAACATTCAAGTATTCAAGTCTGATAAAAAAAAAAGATAAACCAACTTACAGAAACTGAGGCGTTGACAGAAAATTTCTTCCTCCCAAATCCACTGGGTATTTAAACATTAAGAAAAAGTACAGATGACCAACCAGGTTGCCGATCAGTTCATTGATGATGCTGTAGGATATCAGGAAACAGCATTTTAAACAGTGTTAAAAATTAGCAATTGAAGCATTTTCCCCTAATAAAGTGAAAGTATCTTAATCAACGGGGCCAATTTCTAATGGGTTTTGCACGGTTGAAGAGCTTGAGGGCTGCCAAGGCTGAAAATAACCCAGACAAGCTATCCAAGGGTTGCATGCTGTCTGCAAACATTTTTGAAAAATACACTTTTTGCAAACCTGTGGGGAAGACAGTGCTAATGGACGTAAACACTGAAATTTTTTAAAAAAGCAACTGCCGTAAAAATACAACCTAGGAATGATGAAAGTCACAATTTCCATCATCAACTGCATGTATTTGAATTCTACCTTCAGAAGCCTTGAGACAGTACAATTTTATGGAAGACTGTTACAAGTTCAATATATTCTAAGTTTCAATGGTCACTTAAGTATTAATCCTTCTTCCAGCTATGTACACAGAAAGTAGAGTGCCATTGGAAAATTAATAATAAGAATAACTGAAAGTTAAGATTACAGAAGAATGTTTAGTATTGGGCTATAACAGTGGTGGCAAGCCTATGGCACGGGTGCCAGAGGCGGCACTCAGAGCCCTCTTTGTGGGCACGCGTGCCATGCCCCAGAGATGGCAACCGTCCCTCTTCAACCAGCCGCCCGAGGTCCCACATGGCCAGATGCATCCCGGCACAGCTGGTTTCCTTCCCCCCTGTCCCATCGCTCCTGGCCTCACATGCTCTCCTTTTCCCGGGTACGACCCACTGCATCGCCTCCTCAGCTGTCGGCCAGCTGTCCAGCTCAGAGGTAGCTTCTCTGAACTGCTGGCGGTGGGCTGTGGAGCCCCAGAGTACGCCGGTCGAGGAGCCATCAGGCTGTGGCTGCTGACGGACACCGGCGGCCCCCATGCACTCGCTGGCCTCTGTGTGCGGGGGCCGATGGTGTCAGGCAGCAACTGCCCTGGCCCCTGCCTCACCTTGCCCCGTGGCAATGGTATCCCCGCCCTGCCTCGCCTCACCCCGCAGGATGAGCCTCCTGTCCACCGCCCCACCTGCCAGAGACCCCCTGGATATCCCCCAACCCTGCCCACCGGCGTCCCTCCCCACATCGAGCTGACCACGCCCACTTTGTCCACACCCACCCAGTCTGCCATGGCCACCACAGCCACGGTCACCCAGTGGGCCATGTCCCACCTGGCACCCGGCAATAAATAAGTGGGGTTTGGGTTGCTTTTTGGGCACTCGGTCTCTAAAAGGTTCGCCATCACTGGGCTATAATTTCAGAAGGAAGAAGGATGTTAAGTTGGCTTTCCTTGGGAAACTTCATTGTTGGAAGTTGATAGCCAAGACTCTCAGTAGAGTTACTCAATTTACAAATACGCAACTTAGTAGCTTCAATATTTCCTACACAGGGCAACAACTGATGGGCTTCACGCCACCTCCGAGCCGTTGTTTCCAACTTTAGAAGACCTCCAGAATGGAGCTCTCAAAATTAAGTAGCTAGTGGTGGGCAAAATCTGAGTGCAGAGAGCCAATTCAATGGAGGCTTGTTTTGATCAACCTTTGAAGAGTGACTCTCGGATCAAGAGGGAGAGCAGATCTGGAGCAACGGAATCAATTCGATGCTTTCCAATCTAGCTGGAGATTTCAGAATTGATTCTAGGGCTTTTCCATAGTTTCTAGGGTCACTACAGACAATGTGCCATGCTGCAACTTAAGTTTCATACAGCTGGGGAAATCCTGAATTGGCTGAACATTGGAATAGGCTCTTTGACTGACAGAAGCACCCAATCCAGTACCTGCCCCTTGCTTTTGTAGACAGCATGACTGGAACGGGTTGAAGACTCTTCAAGTTACAATGAGTGATTGTGACACAAGTTTACATTAACAATGGCTGATCTGAAGATTTGCCTTCTTTAAGAATGAAGAGGGCAAGGCTATAAATGCCACTCATTCCAAACCAGATTCTTGGTCCGTAGATATTTATTTATTTTATTTATTAATTAAACTTTTACCCCGCCCTTCTCCTTACGGACTCAGGGCGGCTAACAACCAATAAAATACAAATACACCCCAAGACACCCCTTAAAACTTGGTTAAAAAGAAATATTTAAATTGGCTATAATTAATTAAAAAATGTTTAAGAACCCCACTAAAAAATTTCCCCTTAGGCCAGTCCTGCTTGCTGAAATAACCATGTCTTAAGGGCGCGGCAGAAGGAAGGGAGATCCGGAATCACCCGGATCTCTGGGGGTAGCTCGTTCCAGAGGGTGGGAGCTCCCACTGAGAAGGCCCTCCCCCTGGGAGTCGCCAGCCGGCACTGTCTGGCTGACGGCACCCTGAGGAGACCCACGCTGGGACAATCTGCCTCTGCTAAGTCACTAACAAAGGTATTATCAGGAAGTCCCAGCCTTGATACAACTGAATCTGAACAGCGTCAAGGGTGTCCTTCCCAAGAGAGACCCAGCATTTATCACAGCTGGAGCCCAGGCAACCCAGTAATCACAGGCAGCAAAGCACAAGCCTGTGGCACCCCAGAAAACATGTGAAGGGGTACGTGTTTCGTTTACAAAAATCAGTTTTTAAAGTTTGCCTTTTTAAGGACAGTTCAGACAAGTGCCTTCTCGAAGAAAGAGGGGTAAGGGAATATTTCAAGCAGGTGTGGCAGCAAAGCCCTTCAAGTCAAGTGGCTGAAATGGGCCCAGGTTCACATCTGCAAAAGGACCAATCCTCCCTACTGTCTTCGGACCACTTTACCTGAAACTGAAGCAGCGTCAGATATTTTGAAGCTTCCCACCAACAGCCTAAAGACAAACCTTTCACCAAATTGAATCTTGCACCCCAAATCAAATTACTGTCCAATCAAGATGGCAGTTTGGATTCAATCAAGCCCTCTTCAAACTGAATCAACACTGGTTTGCACAGATCTAGCAAACAGTCCATTTTGGCAGCGTTATTTAAAAACAACAACCGTAAAATAGAGGCAGGCAGCCTGCAACAGCCTTAATACAAAGTTAACTGCCTCTAAACAAAAAGAAATGGCTGAAATTTTTGACCCTACCTCCTCCAGCACTATTACTACATTAGTACAGCAGTCTCTAACCCAGTGGTTCTCAACCTGTGGGTCGGGACCCCATTTGGGGTTGATCGACCATTTCACGGGGGTCGCCAAGCAAGGCTGTCCGCCATTTTTTTTGTCCGCCATTTTTTTCCCCTTTTCCAGCGGGTGCCTTACCTCCCTTGGGCTGGGCCAGCTGGTGGTCGGCCTGCTCTGTCTCTGCCGCTTGCCAGCTACACCTCGGCCGGCGCAGGGGGCGGAACCACGCATGCGCGGCGCTCCCGGGCAGGGAAAGTCCTCGACTTACGACCGGTTTAGTCCTCGACTTACGACTGGTTGGGGTCGCGGCATTAAAAAGGTTGAGAACCACTGCTCTAACCTTTCCAGCTTGGCAGACCAGCAGGGGAGGGCAGGCAGAGGAGACGGTTCTGTGCATAGGCAGGCAAGCATGCGTAGCTCCATTTGCACAAGCAGGCATGTGAGCCTGCCATTCGCACAAATGGAACTGCGCACAAATGCTCACCTGTCCACTGCATGCACAAGTAGAGCTGCATGTGCGCACTCGCCCACCGCTTCCACAGCCTGGTTCTGAACAGGCCACGGCCCGGTAGTGGGCTATGGGCCTGGGGTTGGGGACCCCTGTACTACAGTACACCCTTCCTTTCAGATCACCTACAGCAGAGCTTCTTAAGTTTCATGCCCTGGACCCTTCCTTAGAAAAAGAATTTAAATGCATAAGGAAATACTGTACAGGTGTAACTTGTTTGACAAAGGAAAGCAGATACGCTCAAATACAATTATCAAAATGTTACAAATAACAAATATGTGATATAATAATATACAGTATGCGCTTCTTTATTAATCCATCAAATCACTACTAAGGCAATACAAGTAGTTCTCCACCTACGGCCACAACTGAGCCCAGATTCTTGGTTGTTGAGCAAAGCAGTTGAGACACGTGACCGCTTTGCTCAACGATCGCAATCCCACCTCTCCCAGTTGCCGTCATTAAGCAGACTGTTGGAGAATAGGGCCCGAGCCTCCCAAGCATGGTATGATGGGGAGAGGATCTGGGCCTCCCATCACACCCAGGAGTCCTAGGTCCTCTCCCCACCATCGTAAAATGTTGGTGTTCGCTAACATTTTTGCCAGATTTAAAATCCGTTCTTCAGCATACACAGGTGTCTGGGGAATTCTGGGCGTTAAACCCACACATCTGAAAGTGGTCACGGTTAAGAAACACTGATTTACAAGACTATCATGTCCTGACTGTCTCTCCACATCCCATCAGGTCTGACAGGAGGAGCATGCTCTGGGTCCCAATGGTTAAGGAGTGCTTTCTTTCTAGAGCAGAAAACATGCCTTTTCTGACACAGCACCTGCCTTTTGCAACCTCGTCCCCCCACCAAATTAGATTGGCCCCAATCCTGCAACTTTTATAAAGCCTTAAGGCTTTGGATCTGTTCTTAAGCACAGAGACCAGACTGTTGATTGGAGCCCATGAGATTGCTGATTGTTTGCAAATTCTTCCTTGGTCACTATTACAGTACTGGGGCTTTGTTACCTGAATTTTTATTTTAAATGCTGTTATCTGCACAGAGTTAATGCAGCGATATCAGTGGGTATATAAATCAAACAAATTAATAAGGCACAGACCAACTAGCTGGAGATACTTACGAGCCTCCAATGATATAGTTGAATCCCAGGATAACCCATGGCAGATAGCATGCCTAGGAAAACAACAACACATATATGTTTATCATAACGAACCTGAAGGACAAGATTATTCTTTCACCTCATGTGCTAAGGTCCTGAACTTGGCTGGGTCCTATTTCTAACAGCTATTGAACTGCCACTGAAAAAATTGTTGGTTGGGATATTGGCTGGGCAGTAGACTATCCTACTATCCAAACTGTGTTAGCATCAGTTTGCTACATTTCATTTGCTATGATTAACACCAAGCCATGCTTAGCATGTTGAGTAAACTTGCTTTTATGTGATTTTTTCCCCAGAATACCATATTTTCTCAGCTACTGAGTCAGAGAGCTAGACTGATAAGCCTACAAAATACCAGGCTGGAAGGAAGAAATTCATGAGTTAAAGTAGGCATTTTCTGAACGTTTGATATGTGGAGTCCAAAACGTTCGCCATCACTACACTAAGTGGAGCAAAAATACAGTGGAGTGGCCTGCAATGTTAATTTCTGGGTCTTTACAATGTTCCTTAGATGTTGCAAAGACAGACACTTTTAACATTTAAAATGCATGTACTGTAGTCTCTTTACTTGCAGAATGCAGCAATGTCTCCCTAACGATTTTGTTCTAAAATTTGTTAAGTATTACACATGGGACAAACTTTTGTTTTATGATATCTCCTCCCTACTTGTTGAGCTATCCTACAGCCACTTCTGTAATTTTCCTTCCATTCAGGAACTGTATATGGAGCACTATCTAAAATCTGGAAGAAATCAAGGAATTGCTACCATGATTCAATCCGATGTTGAAATTCCACTGATTTGAGCCAAACCTCCCAAGGCAGAAGCCCATCTCTTAAGACACTCACCTTAAACCGAGTCCCAAACCAAAATGACACAATCATGTCTCTGTTCAGCTGGGCCCAAACATAAAGTACTGACATGATCAGGGGGATCATCAGCAACTATAAGAGAACAAAGGATCCAACATGGTTTAAATCAGATAGGAAGACTCACAAACTGAACTAAAAATCTTACAAAGAAAATTCCTGTTCAATTTAGATACACCTCTGTCCTGTTCAATCTTTTTTTTTTCCTGAGGGAAAAAAAGGGAATGAATTTGGAACATTTTGGAGGAAAAAAGACATTTTGCAGATTTCTCCCATAATCCATGACCCTCTAAATTAGGGGTGTCAAACTCGCAACGTCACATAACATGTCACAACGTATCGTGACTTTTTCCCCATTGGCAGAGCTGGGGTGGGCGTGGTTTTGGCATGGCGCATCCGGCCCGTAGGCCAGCAGTTTGACACTCCTGTGCTCCAATAACCACATAAACCCACATAAAGCTGATAGCTCTATGGCAGGGGTGTCAAACTGCCGGCCCGCAGGCCAGATGCGTCACCAGGAAACTGCGCCTACCCCATTGCCGGCAATGGGGAAAAAGCTCCGATACATCGCGCGACGTCACATAACGTCACGAGTTTGACATGTCTGTTCTATGGAAATCAGCCACGGCAGGATGCTAACAAAGTACATTCAAAAACTATTTCTAAGTGAAGGTAAATATACATGTCCCAGGATAATATTGCACGATCCACTCTGAGTCAGTCACCAGGACCAAAGTTTTATTCTTCCAAGCTTTGGGGCTCATGTTGGAGCCCATCCTTAGGGAACAGAGAGAGAGAGAGAGAGAGAGAAGTTCCCTGTGGATGGGCTCCAGCATGAGCCCAAAAGCTTGGAAGAATAAATGTTTGATCCTGGTGAATGATTCAGATTGGATCCTGCAAAAACGTTTCGTTCTTTTATCAATTAACTGCAACTTAGCACTATATCTAAACCTTCAGTTGTGATTAATGTTAACTTTCATTTACTGCAAACACATGTATAAATCAAGATTTGAGATTGGCTTGTTTCAGTAACTAATAGTAAAACTATATGTCTGGGTTTAAACATAAGCTTAAACATTACTCATTACAAAATGGAAACAGCTTCCATCTGTCTCTTTGCAGCCATATAGAGAGGGCAAAGGGCAGGAATCAGAGGCTACCGCTATGCTTCAAGTGGCCATGTTCTCCAATGGTTGTGTCTTAATGTCATTTGTAACTCTGGAAGGATGTGCACCAAAAGTCCTAATAAACCCGATTTGCCAGACTTTTAAAAAAAAGGATATACTTACTTGCATATTCATTGCTAAGCCAGTAATCTTTTAATTTTAATTAAGGAAATCCAAACTAAGCAAACACTGATACTTAATTTGTAAGGATTCAATTGTAGACAAGTAGAATAATTCATGCTAATCCTTGTTATCATATTGAAGCCCTTTTGATCCAGCTGAATATATTTGGATCTCTGCCCACCTGGCTTTAACTGAGCCTGTAAAATCTCTCTCAGTCATAAGCAAGTTTGGGTCAAACAATATATTTAACAGCAAGCTATAGCAGGGTTGGGTACTTTTGAGATTCAGAGTTCAGAAACCCAGCATGTTGTGCAAAATAGACCATCATGTTAAGCCATAATAGGGCTCATTCATTTGGCACAACTGTAATACTAATCATGCTTTGTTAACCCAGCTTTTGTGTCAACCCAGCCATGGAGTCTTAAGCAAATCTTAAGCTCTCGTTCATTTATATCAGGGGTGTCAAACTCAATTTCATTGAGGGCCGCATAAGCATTGCGGTTGCCCTTGGGGGTGTGGCTTACTGGGTGGGTGTGGCCAGCTCTACATCGTTCGTATCAAGGGGGCCTGTGGGGGCCTGGGCAGGAGTGGGACAGATCTGAGGATCTCTGGCAGAAGGGGGTGGGACCATGGCAAGTGCCAAGGCATGGTCCACGGAGGAGGCTCACTGTTCCTCTCAGGCCATGCAGGGGGGGGGGCTGAATGGTGGTGCCACCACAAAATTGTACATTAGCTCCCGGCCAGCCTGGGCCAGGGCCAAGGCAGCGGGGGCCGTTCCCTCACTGTTTCCAGGATGGCTTCGCGGGCCACAATAAACCATTTCGCGGGCCGCATCCGGCCCCCGGGCCTTGTGTTTGACATGTCTGATTTATATAGTAGCTGTTTCTGAATTAATCACCTTTCCCACCCAAACATGTGGACTCAGGATTATCAGAAAAGAAATGGAGAAGCTGGGGAATGACTTCCCTAAGTCCACGAAAGCATCCACAACCAATCTCTGCATCCCTTGGGGGAGGGGGGGGGAAATGCTTTTTCAAGACCCAAACTTGTCCAAACGTTGGGCAGCCGATTCAGGAAAGGATACAACTATGCATATCCAGTTAAACAGCAGCATGAACACGTAGTCGGCAGGCCTTCCATCAAAAGCACCTGCGAACAAAGAATGGCATTGCTGTGAATGTAATCCCTGGCAGTTGTTTTTTTTCCTCCCTTTCCCCAAGAGGCAGCGGGAGCCTCCAGAAGGCTGTCATTAAATCGCAGGATGCAACTTCAACTTTTGTTCTGAGAAGGAAACAAGCAAGAGACTGCTCGGTTTGGCGAGGGTGTTTTATGGGAAAGTGTATCGGAAAGGCCAGTTTTTGTAGGAAAATCTAAATTACTACCTCTATATATGGAGAGTCTCTATACACCAGTGATGGCGAACCTTTTAGAGACCGAGTGCCCAAAAACTGGCCCCCGCCCCTGCTCTGCTTCCCGCCCTGCCTGCTCCGCCCACGCCCACCCCCTGCCCCGCCCGCCCGCAGGGCCACGCACCGCCTCCATGGTCCACCACAGATCGCCCAGGCAGCCCTGCAGTGCCATGGCAGCCACGACCTCCGCCCACATCCCACAGCATCATCTGCACGCTATGGGGCATGAGGGCGGAGTCTTGTCCCTGCTGCCCGGCTATGTCCTTGGCTGTGCTGCTCCGTGCGGGCCACGCCCAGGAGCGACTCTCCTCCAGGGGGACTGCTGGTGAGGAGGGGGCTGTGCGGGGGAGACGGGGCTAGGGCAACGGCACACGTGCCCACAGAGAGGGCTCCGAGTGCCGCCTCTGGCACGCGTGCCATAGGTTCGCCACCACTGCTCTATACAGTGTACACGATATGAATTCTAGCATTGGAGGCTTTTTTTCTTGTTTTCACACAAACATTACACAAAACTCTAGCACCGAATATATATATATGTTTTCCCACAAAAAGTACCCCAAATTAACATACTACAAGTCGTCCTCGACTTACAACCACAGCCGAGCCCAAAATTTTCATTGCTAAGCAAGAAATCTGTTAAAATGTTTTGCCCCATTTTACAATCTTTCTTGCACAACTGTTAAGTGAAATCACTGCAGTTGTTCAGTTAGTAACATGGTTGTGAAGTGATTCTGGCTTCCCCCATTGACTTGGCTTGTCAGAAGGTTGCATGGCCCTGGGACACTGCAAACCGTCATAAACATGAACCAGTTGCCAAGCAAGCGTCGATATTTTGATCACGTGACCATGGAGATGCTTCTACATTCGCAAGTGTGAAAATCGGTCATGTCACTTTTTTCAGTGCCGTTGTAACTTCAAACAGTCACTAATGAATTGTTGTAAGTCAAGGACTAACTGTACAGTCAACATTATAAACTCTACATCTCCTGCAGCATAATCTGAGTTTGAGAAATGTATTACACAATTCTTTGTTTGCAAAGTTCCATCAGTTAAGGTTGCAATTCTTACATAATTACTGCAATTGGGAATAACTGGTTATGCTAGAACTTGTTTCTAAATAAACTACATAAGAACGAATCCCAAAGTATCTTAATTGGTTGGCTTCGGTAGATTTATTATAAGGAGAACAGAAAGCAATTGTTGTGTTCCTTGTTATTTAAAAGGTACTTATACATACTTAGTAATAATCAAGCATATCATAAATTATTGTACTACATCAAAAGAAAATGGCCCTGCATGCACTTTTAATTTACTAGTTGTAAAATGATGAGAAATAAGCAATTAAGATACTTGGCAAAGTTAAAAATACAATTAACAGGATTTTTAAATCTTTCAAACCCTTTCACTTCTGCCAAACCTTTAGCAGTTGCCTGAGATTGGAATTCTTTTTTCTCCAAGAACATATTCACAAAGTTTTCTTTAGCAGGACGTATTAAGATGAAAGAGCACTGGCATTAGAATTCTAGCAAGTTGAACTAATTTGAAATAAACATCAATATGTACAATATGGCAGAGATTTTTTTGTTTTAGAATTTATTCATTCCCTTACTGTGTGGTGGAGGGAGAGTTCACTTTTCACTGATAAGGGGGTAAGATATTATCTTTTGGATATTTTCCCTGAGGTCTTCCTAGCCTTGTAGAGGGAAATCTAAATATTCAAGTGATTCGCAAGCCAAGGTAACTTTTTGCAGCTGCTAGCTTTCTGCCTCGGCTTGCAAAACTTTTTATAGACCTTTTCATTTACTTTGTTCTAATGTATGCATTTTTTCTAATACACTCAACTGTCCAAAGACAGTTTTAGACATTTATGTACATTTCTATAAGTCCATACAGGTTGTGAATTGGATACACATACTGACTTTTTTTTCCCTACCATCCTCAAAAGTGAAAAAGAATTGAATGGTTATAATGGTGTGGTTGTATATTTACCTGTTTCCAGACGTGATGAATACTGATACAAAAAATAGAGATTCACCATATACAGAAAGCCTGTCCCTGGGCCAACAGGGAAATAAAATGTGGCAGTTATTGGCCTCCAGATCTGTTCAGACAAAAACAGCAGATGTGTAAACTATTATTATTTGAGAACTTGTTTAAACAATATCAAAGTTACTTGTATCAGGCAGTATCAGTGATTGATAAGATATTGTACTACATACTAACAAAATTAAATCTGTAATTATCTGATGGATTATTGGAGGAGGGAAGCTCCCAGCCCACCACCCCATAAGAATATTGAGCCCCCATCAGTGCCAGTCTGATAGGTCACAAACACCAGGATTCAAAAGTGCTGAAGCCAATGTTCAATGCTTTACTACAGGGATATGCAACCTTGGCAACTTCTAAGAATTATGGACTTCAACTCTCAGGATTCCCCAACTGACGTTCCACAAGTCTTTAAGTTGTCACAGTTGGACACCCCCACTTGACTGGGAAAGGATAAAAGAACTTTGGCTTATAAACTCTCTTCTGTCTTCTGGTATAATTATAAGAACAATTTCAGAAGCTTTTTTTTTCTATTAATGGGTTTTTCTCCACCACCAACAAACTCATCCCTCATGCAATACACAAAGATCGAGAAAGTAGAAGATGTTACTCGCCCAGGGGTAGGCAACTTTGGCTCTTTTATGACTCGTGGACTTCAACTCCCAGAATTCCTGAGCCTGCATGGCTCAGCTTGGAAACCTCTCCCTTTCCCCTCAGCATGGCTGGCTCAGGAATTCTGGGAGTTGAAGTCCACGAGTCATAAAAGAGCCAAGGTTGCCTACCCCTGCTCTAGCCCTACAAGAAAACACCATCAAGCTTCAATAAGGGTCCCAAGCGGGGAGAAAAAACTTTAAGGGGAAAAAAATAAAGAATCTCTCAAAGTCATTTAATAAGATTTGGACATGCTGCCTGGCCATAAAATGATGGAAGACAGAAAGGAACTCTCTTGGAAGAGACAACAGGTGGTTGACAGCACAGAGAACGTCCCAAACTTTCAACTTTTGCAGGTTACACTATTACAAGTGATTTGGGTGCCCTCGGTATTGGTTCTGGGGTGGTTGGCTGTGGATCTGGGGAAGAAAACAGATCTATATACTGTACTATAAGACATAAACACAGAAGCACAGGAAACATCTGAGATTTCACTTAGAGTCTACAGATTTATGATAACTGGACGGTTGCTTTCTACATGCTATTTACTATGATTGCCATCAGCTGCCTGTCACATGTGAACTTTAGCAACCTTCCACCTGTTAGAGGGACTGTCTTGTCTGTCACATGTTAAGAATAGCCCAGCTAACCAAGCAAATGGCAGCCACTACATAAATAGCCGTCCTGCAAGAGGCAAGCCATGTTTTCATTTGGATTTGGGATATCCCCTAACAGCATAACCCTTGGATGCACTGGAGGATAATTTTCCTTGTCCAAAGCCAATATGGACAATGGCTGCACCAGCAGAGGTTGAGCTACAGTCAAACATGTTTAGAAGGCATCCTGTCAAGTAACAGCATGTTATAAAGCAATTAGTTCCTATCTAGGTAATTGCTGCATCTCTCTATGGTAAAAGAATGATATATCTACCTCAAGTCTATGTGTTGGCATTCTCAGTACAAAAGCAAAGAACAGGGAGGGAAATATACCCGCGAGCTGAGTGTCTAAGATACAGCATGTCTCTCAAAATAAAATGTCTTGCAAAGAAGCACATTTCTCCTCCAATCTTGAGAAATATAATCTTGCATTTATCAACCTATCTTATCACTATATTCCCCTTTGCATTCCTCTGAGGTTGCACTAAAATGCAAAGGAATTGGCATACCAAAATGCTGAAATCTACACTCTAAGCTCCAGTTCCTGCTTTTCTTAGCACACCAACCCAGATGGCAATGGAAAAAGACTGATAGTTAGAAAGCTGATTTATCACATAACTTTTAATTCCTATCATATTTTACATAAACTTCATAAAATGGTTCATTCATAGGAAGCACTTTTATTATCCTGCAGAGATCACATGTAGCTCAAGATTAAAGCAGTGGGCTGTTAATTATTTAGGCAAGTGATGAAATATCTGTAAATGAAAAATCACGTTTAGAGAACTCTTACAAGCCAACATTTGTATTATTTTTTTTCCTAAGCCCAGTGATCCATGTCTAATTGCAAGGAATAATGAGGGGAAAGCAATTCCATATAGCTAAGCATATTAAACATCTCCCTAAAAAAAATTCATTTTGTTCAGCTAACACAAATACTGAACAAAAGAATCAAATCTTCCACAACATTGATTTAAATTACTCTGGCCTCCTCAAAAAAAAAAAAAAAAAAAAAAGAGACTAACCAATCACTTCCAGCTTAAACTATTCCACATTTTGTCCACTATTTGGTGCCTATCAAAATGCCAGAAGCCCCTTTGAATCTTAATGATTGTTTATATTCTTGGCACTAAAAAAAATATAGCTCTGCAACAAGATAAAAGGCAATAGTGAAGTCTGTTACCAAGATAAATCAAACAATTCAATTGATCTCTTATGCTATTTTTTATTCTATATTACTTCCAATTTCAGGTTGTTTGTGTTTTGTTAGCAATGGACGGAAATTCAAGCACCTCAACTGTTTCCATGATTACTGAAAAAGGAAACACCTCCCACGCGTCCATTCTCAAAAAGGGCCTTATTTAATTTGTTCCATGAGTGACACGACACATACTTTTTCACACTTATCTTGCCAAAGAGAAACGGGGATGATGAAAAAGAAAAAAACTGAACCTCTCAAAAAGCTGGCTTATGCAGCCAATACAAAATAGTACCATAATTGTAGGATCTTGTGTGTGGTAGTTTAATATTTGCCCAGCACTCCTTACAGAGTTTTCTCAGCCCACTGCTATTCTATGTGCCTCTCCCTGCTGAGACCAAATATTTCCCACCAGGCAGTATGCAAATTTCCCCACTTTCAATTTCAGAGCTACCTTACAAAGCACTTCACTTTTGATCATTTTCAACTCTTATGCAAAGCCACCTGAAGAGACTAGAAGCATTTGAAATGTGCATTTACAGGTGGCTGTTACGTATAACCTGGGTTGACCAGATCAGAAATGAGGAGGTGATAAGCCGCCTGGGAAAGCCAAGGGAAATCATCAAAACAATTAAAAAATGAAAATTAGAATATTTCGGACATGTGATGCGACACCCAGAAAAATACAGCATACTCCATTTAATCCTCCAGGGAAAGGTTGAACGCAAACGAGGTCCAGGCAGAAGAAGAACATTGTGGCTTCAAAATCTAAGGGACTGGTTTGGACAAAACTCAGCAGCACTTTTTTCGTGCGGCTGCTGATAAAAACAGGATCGCCAACGTCCGATAACGGATATGGCACAACAAGAAGAAGATGCAAAGATCAGTGACATGATCGCACCATGTAATAAGTTATGATTAAGTCTGTACACCATGTTCAGCCAAGAGCATGGAAGTAAACCTTGCTGTGGCTTGGAACGACCCCTAGTTTCACATGACTATTAACCTTCTGACCAGAGTGTCATTCACACAAAGTAAAGCACATGGGGGGGTTGGTCAGTATTTGGATGGGGAGCTACAATGGAAACCCCACATTCATACATACATGCATGCATCCCTATATACATGTATCAATTTCAGTTTCACAATAAATATATAAATAAATGAGAAACTGAATCCCACTGGTTATACCCTAATAAAGTTTAAGAGGCTATCTATTAATTTTCTATATTGGCTGAAATTAGCCCTAACCAGAATATCCGGCTTGGATACATCAATCAAAGATTTCTCTGGAGAAATCTCTGATCCCGGGAAAGGTACCAGGAAAGAAGAGGGTGACCAGCAGCACAGTGGATGGACTGAGTTATAGTGATGATGACTACACCATTGGAGGACCTGAGAAACCAGGTTAGGGATAGATCATCATGGGGGGAAAAATCTATGTGGCCATTAGAAGTCGAAAATGACTTGATGGCCCTTAATCAGTCAATCGTTTTCTGAAAGGTACTTTTAAGTCTATCAAACAAACAAATATCCCTTGTTTAGGTAAGCACCATTCAATCTCTTTATTTAAAAAAAAGTTGTTTTATATAAGGTCAAGTTACGGTGCCTCCCACTCAAATCAACAATGGCACTTCCACCATAGCTAAAAAAAAAAAGTACACAAGGCTGGAGTACCCATCCCCGTACTTTCAACAAATTGACTACAATTCCCAACACACTCAGCGCAGCATTGCTTCTCGAGGCTATAGGAAAGAGCGTGCAGTGCATGCCGGGAGCTAGAGTCCAGATAACCTACCTGGAAGCGGTTGATGAAGGCATCGGGCCACAGGAAGAGATAAACGGGGCTTATCAGGCCTAGCTTGCCGACGAGGGGCACCACGATGGAAGCTGCAAACCAGTAGCGGGTAATAAGCGGGATGCTCCGGAACCAGTCCCCGAGGTCCGACATCTCCCCTTCGCCACTGTGCCGCTTGTGACTGGGAGGCCTGGAGGCCGGGCCTTGCGCTCCTCGCTCCCGCCGGTGCTTCTTTCTCAGCCAAAACGGGGAGCGTCGAGAGGGGCTGAGCTGGCCGGTGGGTGGGGCCCGCCTTCTTTCGACGTGGCCACACCGAATTCGGCCAAACGGCTGCTTCCGGCTTCCGCCTTCCGTTTGCTAAGCAACGGAACAAAAATAAAGGTGGGGAAAGGAGCGTCGCCGGAAGTCTCACTCTTAAAGGAAACGCATTTTTCACTCTCGTTCCCTGTGTAAATAAATGCATCTATGTATTGCATAGCTCAGGGGTAGGCAACCTTGGCTCTTTTATGACTTGTGGACTTCACCTCCCAGAATTCCTGAGCCAGCATGGCTGGCTCAGGAATTCTGGGAGATGAAGTCCACGAGTCATAAAAGAGTAGCTGTATCATCATTCTTTTAATTTAGTTGGGTTTCTTAATTATTAAACATTGTTTTTGCTAAACATTATTGCTAAACAAGAGATATATTTTAATTCAGTGTTTAAATTAATGGTCCCTTGGGGTTTTCACTGGATTGTACGTATCTCGGTCTCTCTGGCCAAAAGAAATGCATTATAAATCTAAGATAGTAGTTCTCCACCTTGGCAACTTTAAGATGTGTGGACTTCAACTCCCAGAATTCCCCAGCTAGCATCTCAAAGTTGCTATTGTAGAGAAGCAGTGATATAAGTTGTTATGCTGTCTAAACAAGCTTCACTGACATATTTGTATCTATTCAAATCATTAAAGGCTCACATTCAGTCATGCTATTCTATAGGGGAAGCTGGTATCACTGAACAACCCAATAAACTCAAGGCTGAATTATCACATCTTGGAGCATACAGTTTTTTAATGCTTTTAAATGATGACTGTTTTTTTATATTTTATATATTTATTGGTTTTTCTTTTTAACTGTTGTATATGGCCCAGAGCTAGGCTTCTGTTATATGGGCAACTATATAAATATAATAAATATTGTTTAAGTAAAATAATTAATTTGTATGTTGTATCAATCACCACTTAAAAAGAGACCAAAATAACTTCCCACAGAGAGAAAAGGAGAAAAGGAAAAAAAAGCAAAGAAAAAAATCCCCCTTCTTGAATTAGTAAACAGAAGGCAGGGTATATTTAAAAAAAAAATAGTAAAGTTCTAATTTATATTTTATGCAGCCTTTTCAATGAATAACCAAAAATGACTAAAATTATTTCCCATCAAGGCTGAAGTTTGCCGTCACAGTTCCTAGCGATAGATCACATGAAAGATCTCTCATGTTAAAGTAAAACAATGTCCGTAATTACAGTCCATCAAGGGAGCATCAGACTTAACAGCACTCAAGCAATTAAGTTGAAGTCTATGCATTCAAAATGAGTAAAGGCAAAAAGAAAAAAAAAAGTAAAGTGAAAATTAGAAGTTAATAGCAGAAGTTGGTGCCTCTAAAATGCAGAAGTAGCCAAGAGTTGTGAACCACTGCATCTCTCATTCTGATAAGTCTGCAAACCATCCAAAAAAACCTTGTGAGGTGATTCCAGGATATTCATCCATCAACAAAGCAGCAGAGCAAAAACAAAAAAAGACACTGCTAATTTAAAGCACCACTGCTAATTTAAGGCATCATTTTTAGAAAAGCCAGAGTATATTGATTACTATGCTGGGGTGTTGGCTTGGTGTACCATGCTATACAGGTAGTCCTTGACTTACAACAGTTCATTTAGTGACCATTCAAAGTTACAACAGCACTGAAAAAGTGACTTATGACCATTTTTCAACCTTATGATTGTTACAGCAACCCAATGGTCATGTAATTTACATTCAGATTCTTGACAACTGACTCACATTTATGACAGTTGCAATTTTCTGGAGTCATGTGATCCCCTTTTGCTGAAAGCAAAGTCAATGGAGAAACCAAATTCACTTAACAAACCTGTTACTAATTTAAGAACTGCCGTGATTAACCAATGTGGCGAGAAAAGTCGCAAAATGGAGCAAAACTCATTTAACAAATTTCTTCCTTAGCAATATAAGTTTTGGGCTCAGTTGTCATAAGTTGAGGACTAACAGTAAAAAGCACTCTTGGGGACCCTAGAGCAGCTTTTGTGACCCTATCTTCTAGGCAGATTACTCAGAGTAAGGGCTTTGCCTCATCCCAAATCACAGTGTTTCTTAACATCAGTAAGTTTTAAGACCTGTGGACTTCAGCTCCCAGAATTCCCCAACCATCATGCTGGCTGGGGAATTCTGGGCATTGGTCCACATGTCTTTAAGTTGTCAAGTTTGAGAAACATTACTCTTATCTTTTGCTGTTCTGTATACAGTTAGGGTTGCCTTTTATTTATTTCCTTCCTGTGGGCATCATTTCCCAAGGGCAAATCAGACAAATATTTTAAAAGAATTACAAATGTTCTGAATACATATTGAATAGATGGAGAAACGATACAGTACACCTGTTCTGAGGACTTCATCTTTATTTTATTTATTTTCAAGATATCCTGAAAGAGTCCCTTGACTTCAACAACTGCAAATTCAACAGGTAGATTTCGGGAGATTGGTTTGCTTCCTCCTCTCAGCTGCAACACTACTTTCTGGACTGAGTCGCTCTTGGACCATCCAACGGCCAAGCAAACTACGATTCCCAACAGGCTTTGCTTGGAATGCTCCACACAGATAGGGGAAAAGTCTCCTCTCTGTGCCTTCCTGAGTCCACGCCGATGGGAGGCGTTCCTTTCCTATCCCCCCTCCGATAGGCATTGGTATCTTCCTAAGTCAGAGCGATCTGGCAGGAGAAGCGGCCGTTGGAGCGGGTTCGGTCCGGCGGCGGCGGCGGCGGCGGATCTGTTTTCTTTCCCGCCGGGATGCAGAGTTCGGATCTGGGCAACAGGGAACAGGGCAAAATCTGGCACCGCAGGCCCTCCCCGGCAACACAGCAGGGGTAACTTTCCGTAGTTGCGGCATCATTGGTTGCATTTTTAGCAGCTATTCAGCAATGGAGCTTCCATCTTCAGTGATAGTCTATCTGTTTCCAGCAAGAATGACGCTTTTCATCACCTTCTGCTCAGGCGTTAAATTAGCCCATGGCCCTCTAAAAGAGCTGGACTCCCAACTTCCATCAGCCCCCAACAAGGGAAGAGAGAGCACTTTTGGGAGGGCGGATGGGGTATGTGGAGTGCACAGGTGATACAATGAAGGGGTCAATGTCCCTTTGTTTTACGCTGATAAAAATAGAATTTTGGAAAGATGCAGAATGCATGGATAAGACATGGTGCAACTGCCTTAAATATACTTACTGTACTAAGTAGAGTTTCTCAGCTATAATTGATAAGAAGAAACCACTCCAGATTAAAAAGTCCCTATTTCTTTGCAAAAAGTGGCTGACCTCATATAAGGGAGAGGTACGTAGGTGTGTGCGTTCTCTCCCAGGAGAATCAGTTATTACATCCATAAAAAATAATAGCTATCATTTGAAGTGGATTTATTTGATAGGGATATGACCCACTGAAACTCTGTCATAGGGGTAAGCATCTGTTTTTCTGTTGGGGATTGTGTCCCCATAACATGGATGGTGGGCTCATTTCATCCCAGTCAGGGAATTAAGCAGTTTGTAAGACAACTGCCAAAAAATATGCAAGGCCACCCATTCTCTCCCTCTAGATATTTTTCTCCCTGTTCTGACATAATCTCCTTTCTGCTACAGTTCTCCATATATTAACTTCATTTTGCTTTCTTTCCAGAATCATTGTAAATATTATTCATACTACCACAGGATATCATTCCAAGACAATACGTTTTTTGAATGTGGCTTTCGACTGTTCAGGCGAGTTTCTACTTGCTGGAGATCATCAAGGGAATATTTATAGTTTTGATTTGGTGGGCAACAGGTTGGTATGTCATATGTCTCTTTCATCGTTCAGTTTATGCTTGCTTAAAATATATGAATTGCTTAGATAGCAGTACAAGTATGCTAGCGTCATGTGGGCTTTTCCCAAGATGCTCTCCATATACACAATGAATAAAAATAATTATTAATATTGAAATAATTATTGCATTATTAATAAAATAATATTTTGTTGAGGGTTGATTATGGCCTAAGTTTATTTTACTTCTCACATTTCAAGGCCGTCAGACTCTTTAACAACTTATAGATAAAAAGAGAGATCTATAACAATACATCTGTAGAGATAGATATAAACACACAGAGACACACACATACAGTACATATGCACACACATACAGAGAGATATATACAGAAATACAAGAAGATCTGCCTTGTTTTAGAATAAGTTGAGTCCTCTGGTTAAATTATTCTCTTTTAGCATTAGCGTGGTTATCTGTTAGCCAGTGTGTAAGGAGTCTATGAAACATTCATAGATTGCTTGACTTGACAGCTGCTGTAACTGATGTCTTATTATGCTCTGCCGGAATAAATTTGTTTTGTCCCAATAGGTTTAACCTGGTTCAACGAACAGGGCAAGCTTGCACTGCTCTGGCATTTACTCTTCGTAGGAAAACAGAATTCCTTGTGGCTTTGGCAGATTATTCCATCAAATGCTTCGATACAGGTAATTTAAAAATTTCCAATCCATAGTAGACAGCTTGTCAAAGGTGCTGGGACAACAGCTCCCATAATTCCTGATGGACTTCATAATTCCATAATGAACCAACTCCCAGAGTTCCTCAGCCAGAATTCTGGGAGTTGAAATCCACACATCTTATGCCAAGTTTGAAAAACACTGCTGTCATGTGTGCAGACTATTTCAAGTTTGAAACAGTTATTTTGACCGTATGGAACTCATTCATCTCAATCGGTACAAAACTTACTGGTAGAAATTATCTGCTTACGTTTGTGCAAAACCACTTAGGTTTGTGAGGAACAGCTAGACTGAGATCCAAAGAAGGAATAGTTCTAGTTCCAACTGTTCTGTTCCAGGCTTAGAATGCTGTACTTCTGCAATGGTCCAATCACCACTGGGCCATTTCTAGAGTGGTTGGCACAATCTCCTCTGAAGTCATGTTTCTTTCAAATTTGAAATCTTAAAGTCTCCTGGTTCTTTCTGTGTTGGTTCTGACCTTTCCCTCCTCTTTCTTACTTCCACAGCAACCAAAGAGCTTGTTAGTTGGATGAGAGGACACGACTCTTCGGTGTCTTCAATCTCAGTTCATGGCTCTGGCAGATATGCCATCACGTGTTCTACAGATACAGCCCAGCTTTGGGACCTGGACACGTTCCAGCGCAAAAGGAAGCTGAACGTCCGCCATTCTGTGGGGATCCAGAAGGTGAATTTTGAGATAGTCCTCCATTGCCAAATTAATGCTCTGGTCTCCTGAAATCTGTGGCCATTTTCAATTTTTGTCAGGTCCCAATGAGGATCACACTAAAACTGACTTTATGGAAGGAAAACTTTCTCTTTGGTTTACATCCACTTTAGTCTTTTGATCCCTGGATCCCACTGTTAGGTATTCCTTAATTTGAATTTGTCTGGCAGCTGCTCTCCTGTTGTAAATTGTCTTAGTTCAGTTGTTGCTGATGAACTGATTTAACACTGAGGATTTGGGCCAAGAGTGGATTTCTGCTTCCTGTTTGGTCTCTGAATATTAGGGGCGTTAGACCCCAGCAGAAGGTGAGGGGGAACCGTTCTAGGAACCAACCACAATCATTTTGGGGGAGAGGGGATTCACCATTACAAAAAATTGCAATGCAGTCATGGACTTTTGGAATGGAGATAAAAATAGAGAAGAAAACATGTTATCTTCTCTATGAACTCAGCAAATCAGTGCCACCTGATTTGGTCTGGGAAGTTAAGACGGGAGTCTCTGTCACCCTCAACGTGTGATCCGTTTGTGATCCTTATCAGAGAACCCTGCCACATTCGCAAGGCATTTTCAAAGCCAATAAACACAGCCGAATCAAGGCTTTCAGAAGCCTCAATCAAAAAAGGAGAAAATATAAAACATATATGTTCCTTTAACGTCAAAATATATACAGGTGGTCCTCAACTTACGACCATTTGTTTCGTGATTGTTCAAAGTTGCAGGGTGCTGAAAAAAGTGACTTACAACGGGTCTTAGCACTGACGGCCATCACAGGATCCCTGGTTAGCAAATGGCATGTATATACAATAGTTGCAGGATCCCAGGATCCCGTGATCGCCATTGGCGATCTTCCCAGGAGGCTTCCAACAAGCAAAGCCAGTAGGGAAGCCAAATTCACTTAATGACTGCATGGTTTGTTTTAACGACTGTAGCAAAAATTATACAGTTCAGTGTGATTCTTTTTAACAATGGCTTCACTTAGCAACGGAACTTCCAGTCCCAATTGTGATCATAGGCAATTATGAGGGTACTTGTCTAATACTCGCTCTGAAGAGAAGCTGCTCGTTTTAAAACGTCTTTTCCATGTGCTTGTTGTCCCTGTGCTTTCAGGTATTCTTTCTTCCCCTGAGTAACACCATTCTCAGCTGCTTCAAAGATAACTCGGTCTTTGCGTGGGACTTTGATACTCTTCGTTGCAAGTATCAGCTACCATCGCCCATCGAAGGTTCTTCATTGCACTACAAGGTCTTTGCCGTGACCCGGTAGGCCTAGTCTTTAAGCCTGCAAATCTCCTACCTCATCCTCTTTGAATTTACTTTTCGCTAAAGTCCAGATTGGACTTTACTAAATGCAGGGCTTAGTCCTGCAGAGGAACAATACAATGCAATTAAAATAATGAAATTATAACTGGGTGGCTGAGGAATTCTGGGAGTTGAAGTCCACAAGTCTTAAAGCTGTCAAGTTTGAAGACCTCTGATGTAGAGCATAGATCCTGCAAAGCTTATTCTCTCTGAGTGAGCTTCAGCCATTGCCCAGTTGCCTCTATGCTAGAAGTTGGTTTAGAAGCTTTCTAGAGACTTTAATAATAATAATAATAATAATAATAATAATGATAATGATAAAGTTGGAAGGCACCTTGGAGGTCATCTAGTCGAACCCCCTGCTGGACCCTATACCATTTCAGACAAATGGCTGTCCAGTCTCTTCTTAAAAACTTCCAGTGTTGGCGCATTCACCGCTTCTGGAGGCAGGTTGTTCCACTGGTTAATTGTTCTAACTGTCAGGAAGTTTCTTTAGACTCCAGTTTTCCCAGATCTTAGTGACCCTCCAAGCAAGCGATAATCCAAAATGCCTGGCAAGAGCATTGGGTTGCCTCCTGGGAGTTAAACACATTTAACCTTGAAATAAATCTCCCCAAACTCCATGAGATGTAGTGTCCACAAACATAAGCCTGTTTGCAGAATGTTAAATTAGTCACCGTAAGTGATTATTTCATTGTCACGGCGTTCCTTGGAGTGTCCCAACCAGAGATTGTTTAAATCCAGATAAGGAATCACTTGATTTTATACCATCTTGAAACCAGAGATCCTATACGTCAGACTGATTCCTTATCCGGACTGAGCAGTCCTTCGCAAGTCATACTTGAGCGCTGTGAGAGTAAGCTATGAGTTTGAGATGTAAGCTGCCACGAAGATGAGTAGATTAATGCCCATTGTCTTGTGCGGGGTTTCAGAGATGGCCGCGTCCTGGCAGCGGGAGGCAAATCAAATCACCTCCACCTGTGGTGCTTGGAGTCTAAGCAGCTGCTACGAATTATCCAGATGCCAACCCAAGTGCGAGCCATCCGCCAGCTGGAGTTTCTTTCTGACAGTTTTGATGGGGGCTCTAATCAGGTGAGTGACAGAAGCTGAAGCACAGGAAGAAGAGTATTGATCAGAATCAGATAGCCATCGAATGGGTATTATTCACACTTTATACCACCTTATTCCACCCTCCCTTTCTTTTCCAATTGAATTTTTATTGATTTTCCAGTTTTATGTTTAAATATTTGAAAAGCAACGTGGCAGCTGGGTTGGTTCATAATTCAATAACATCCTGATTTCTTTAGTACAGATCACAAACTAGTGCATTAAATATTTCCTCTCTTTTTCCTTTGGCATTTACTGCCTCACATTTAAATTAATACAATTCTTATTATATCAATTTAATACAAATAACTTTTTTTTACATTTATCAATAACTTTTAGTTTATACATATCTTAGTCATTTTAACATTCAGTCATTTTAGACAGTCAATGTCTGACTCCTGGTAAGTTTTTCCCAATTTCTAACTTCCATTAATATTTAAATTTAACGTTTAATATTTATAGTTTCCAAGTTTTAAATAACCCCAATTCCCTTTATCCCAATTCATCCCAAGATCTTACATCAGCTGGTTAATAATACAATTTAATATTCTTATTTTCTAATAATTTCCAAATATCTAAATTTAATAACCAAAATTTCTCTTATTTCAGCATTTAATGCTTTCTGATCCCTTTCTGATCCAGGTTTAAGATTTAGCATGTGATATGAGTCAGCCTGACTCTGTTTAAAGCTGCAGCCAAAAAAACCTTGAAAGATTTTTTTTTTCCTCAGATGCATGTCCCACTACAGGTAGTCCTCGAGTCAACGACCGTTTATTTAGTGACCGAAGTTACAACAGCACTGAAAAAAGTAACTTAGGACCGGTTTTCACACTTAACGACCGTTTCAGCATCCCCATGGTCACGTGATCACCATTTGTAACCTTCCCAGCCAGATTCCAAGAAACAAAGTCAACGGGAGAAGCCAGTTTCATTTAACGACTGTAGCGATTCGTTTAGCCATTGTGGCAAAAGTCATAAAATGGGGCAAAACTCCCTTAACAACCGCCTTGTTTAGCAATGAAAGTTGTGGGCTCAGTTGTGGTCATAAGTTGAGGACTGCCTGTCGTTCTAAATATCTTGAATTGCAGTAAATCATGGTTTGTTTTTTAATAAATTACTAAAATGAATGCAAACGAATTGTCTTTTAAATCTCTTTTTTTCCCCTCTCTAGGTCCTTGGAGTGCTGAGCCAAGATAATATCATGAGATTGATCAACATCAGTACTTGCAAACTGCTGTTTGACCTTGGCAGTCACGAAGAGGGAATCAGCGTTGCTGCAGTGAGCCCTTCTGGAAGATACATTGCAGCCGTGATGGAGAATGGCAGCCTTAGCATATACAGTGTCCAAGCTCTGACCCAAGAGGTCAACAAGGTAGGCTGGAAGGAAACCTCCAAACGTCCCATTTCTCCTTTATGTGTTTGGTCTAGGCCAGAGGTAGGCAACCTTGGCTCTTTTATGACTCGTGGACTTCAACTCCCAGAAATCCTGAGCCAGCTTGGCTGGCTCAGGAATTCTGGGAGTTGAAGTCCACAAGTCATAAAAGTGCCAAGGTTGCCTACCCCTGGTCTAGGCCAGGGGTGGGGAACCTTGGCTCTTTTATGACTTGTAGACTTCAGCTCCCAGAATTCCTGAGCCGGCTAGCTCAGGAATTCTGGGAGTTGAAGTCCACAAGTCATAAAAGAGTCAAGGTTCCCCACCCCTGGTCTAGGCACATGCAAAGAGGCTGCTAAGGGGCGATATTCCAGTGAAAACTACCAGTGCCTGTTATTCCTCGTTTCCCATGCCTGTTTCGGAATAGCAGAAAGGAAACTGACAGCAAAAGGTGCTTTGCCATCCAATAGTCATGGCCCTCAGTATGGCGTAATAAGGAGAGATGTACCCCAATGCATGCACCTTTAAACCCAGGCTAAAAAAAATACACATCCTATATTTATACACTATGTCTGAATATATAAATTATATCACAACTGAATGTGAATGCCTCTTCAGTGCTGTCTGCTAATAAAATGGCTGGGGTCAGGCTTGAAAGACCAGATCCATACCTGAAGGTCCAATTAAATCGATTTATTACTTTTAAAAAAAAAACACCCTATGCACAGGAAACTTTTCAATTAACAGTTAGCAACTGCTTGGAGTTAGATAAGAATCAACCAAATTCCAGAGGGGTTGGATTTAATTTGCTTGTGGCTATGTAGGGATTCTAGGCTGATCCCTTTTTTAACTCTGCCCCCAAGTTCTGCCACACCTCCTCCTCCTGCATCTGAGCTCCCACTACTTGGTTAACCACAAACAGTCAAACCTCATTTTAGTCTAGTTCAGTGTTTCTCAACCTTGACAACTTTCAGGTGCGTGGACCTAACTCCCAGAATTTCCCAGCTAGCGTTGCTGGGAGTTGAAATCCACATAGCTGAAAATTGCCACAATTGTCAAACACTGGTCTATACAGATAGTCCTCAATATGAATCATAGTAGGGACCAGAATTTCTGTTGCTAAGCGAGACACTTGTTAAATGAGTTGCATCCATTTTTATGAGCTTTTTCATTAAACAAATCACTATAGTTGTTAAGTGAATCACGCAGTTGTTAAGTGAATCTGACTTTCCCCATTGACTGCTGTCCCATGGCCCTGGGACACGGCAACCTTCACAAATACAGGCCAGTTGCCAATGGCCAAATTTTGATCCTACGATTGGGAAAGTTTCGATGGTCATTAAGCGTCAGGACATTTTCCAGTGCTCTTTGAAACTTCAAATGGTTGCTAAGAAAATGGCAATAAGTCGAGGATTACCTGTAGTTCAGAGGGGTCTCCAAACTTGGCAACTTTAAGACATGTGGACTTCAACCCCCAGAATTCCCTAGCCAGCACGGCTAGCTGAAGAATTCTAGGAGATGAAGCCCACAGGTTTGGAGACCCCTGCTATAGTTGAATGCGCCAAGCCAGCTACCATTTACACATGGAAGATACTCAGTTTCCCAGCTCTGCTTTCGCAAATTATCTTTTCTGCTCATTTTTTTTTTAGTTTTCTTAATGGGGCAGAAATTAGATGGAATAACTGACTCCTAGAATGAAGTGAGGTTTATGTTCAGCTTCTGCAACATAGGAAGTTTGCTTCTTATTTAGATAGCATGTTTTGGTGATTAAGAACGGGCTTTCCCATCCCCCGAGTCTCCTGTGAATCTTTTAGTCCCAACAAGGGGAGGATTTTTAACAGATACCCGAAATCTTGGCTTTTTCAGCCTCCCCCACCTCTGTTTAAAGTGATTGAGGAATCTAAAAACAAGTTGGATGCCAACAAACTTACTGTGAGAGTCACATCCAGAACCTCAGAGAGGCCGTGGAAAGCCAAAAAAGGCAAAATCCAGTCCAAGGTGTTGAAGCCTCCGCTTGACATGTCGTATGAGGACAAGGAGGTAAGAACTGAACCCCAAACTCGGTGACTGAGGTAGGAAAGGCAAACCTAATAGTTCCCATTAAAGAGCTTCTTTTACATAATTTTAGAAATGCTTTTCTTTCCTCTCCCCCCCCTTGCCACCCTCCCCACCACTACAGCTAACTGGGAATAGAATTAAGAGAGAGATTCCGCTCAGGGACTTGTTCATAGGTGTGAGTGGAGGGGGGTCCACAAGGTCATCTAGTCCAACCCCTGGTTCAGTGCAGGAATTCACAACCCCAGGGGTCTTCAAACCTTTTCATGCCATGAAGTTGTTAGTTAAAAGCTTTTCCAGAACCAATGATCATCAAAACATCAGTCATGGTGTTCTCTTTCAGGGGAGATTGTTCCCCCTGTCCGCAATTTTGCACTGCAACTTAGCAAAATTGCTGCAGATGCTCCTGACTGCATTCAGGTGAACTGGGGTCAGAGTTGGGGGGTTGCATTGGTCTCTCTCTGTGGAACCCAAACTCTGAATTCCACCCTTCCATCAGATGGCTGTTCAGCCTCTGAAAAATTCCAGCGCCATAATCCTGAGTGTCTGAATATGGAAGTTAAGCTAGATCACAAAAACTATGATCCTTTATTGGAGAAGTTGAGCAGCTATCTTTAAGCCAAGGAACACAGTGGGGGAAGTGGGGGAAGGAGACTATAGCTGAAAGGAACAGAGCAATGGCTGAAAGGCCCCAGAAAAAAATGATTTATTTTTACATTTAAGTATGGTTCACATTAAATTGAAAATACAAACTGTTGATATGACTTGTCAGAGCATGCACAGTCTTATTGCGCTGAGATAACCCAGGAGTAAACACAGTTAACAGTGGTCTATATTAAATGGTGGTTTATCTTATACTATCTACAATATCATACACCAGGAACAATATACATACACGTTCTAACACAGCAGAATCCAACACACAGCAGTTACAGGAGGAAAAGGGAAGAGAGAGCACACATCTGCGGAGCCATCCCTTTTATACAAAGCTCTTAAAGAGACACAGACCCTGCTTGCTCTTAAAGAGACACAGACCCTGCTGAGTCAGTCCCATCATTACATCTTAGATCCTACATTACATCAGCTGGTTAGCTTTTAAACCAGACATGTCAAACACAAGGCCCGGGGGCCGGATGCGGCCCGCGAAGTGGTTTCATGTGGCCCACGAAGCCATCCTGGAAACAGTGAGGGAACGGCCCCCGCTGCCTGGGCCCTGGCCCAGACTGGCTGGGAGCCAATGTACAATTTTGTGGTGGCCATTTATGCTAAAACGCATTCACTCTTAGCTCCACAAGGCCGTCTAGAAACAGCGAGGAACCAGCCCCTGCCGCGTCGGCCCCGCCCCCTGGGTACATGCTGGGGAGGTGTGACCCTTTGTGAGGAATGAAGAAATGGACCATGCCTTGGCGCTTGCCCCAGTCCCACCCCCTTCTGCCAGAGACCCCCACTCCTGCCCAGGCCCCCACAGGCACCCTTGATGTGAACGATGTAGAGCTGGCCATGCCCACCCAGTAGGCCACACCCACTCCATCCACACCCACCCAGTAGGCTGCGCCCACCCTGGCCACACACGCACACCCCCGAGGGCAACCCCAATGCTGATGCGGCCCTCAATGAAATTGAGTTTGACATCCCTGTTTTAAACCATTACCTTGACATGGGTGCTCCCCCCTTTTCTCCATCCATTAAAAATTTCAGTGTGATGGCACTTCTGTCCAAGGCTTGGAGGGAGTTGGTTGTGATTTAGGACATGCCTACCATAATAGAGTCCTTTTAGGAAATGGAAATATTCCAATATGATGGAAAGCATGGAATGATAGTGTTGGAGACTAAACTTGCAGAATGGCCATTACAAAGCTAGATTAAAAATCAGAATAAAGTCTGTGCGTGTGTGTTTACGTTCTTTTTAAAAAATCGTGGCAAACAGAATGGTGCTCTCTGAGCTTGATCGTTTTCTTGCAGACATTTCATTACCAAACTAGGTAACATCGTCAGTGCTAGCTGGTGGAACTGTGCCTACATGCAAATTTCTCCCATTTGTCTATTTTCTGAAGCGTTGGACGCCCTTATGTGGTACCGACAGAAGAAAATATTTGTAGCTCAGGGTTGAACTGTGGAGTCCTTGGTGTTCTCTGAGCTTAGTGGTTTTCTTGCAGACGTTTCATTACCAAACTAGGTAACATCATCAGTGCCGGCCACAGAGAATGCTGATTTGACATAAAGGAAAATCAGAGATCGTTTCCTCAGATTGCCACATTTAGAATGGAGGGAAGATTCTTGGGGTGAATTGCAGCCCACATGGGGAAGAAATAACCCTCTCACTCCTATTGCAGAACGAACTGCCGGAGGGGCTGAACAAGAAGCGTCTCCAAGCTTTGCTGAAAGGGTTTGGAGAGTATCCAGCAAAATACAGGTCTGTGAAGTCCTGCACGCCGAGCCCAGTGTCTTGCATTCTAAACAGGTAGCCAACATTGGCCCTGCCCTGCTCATTTGCTTTACGATTGCAGGATGTTTATCTGGCGCTCCTTGCTTCGCCTGCCGGAAAATCACTTGGCCTTTAACAGCCTGTTGGATAAAGGGACCCATTCTGCCGTCGCACATCTTCAGAATGAATACCCAATTAAAAGCAGGAAGCTCTTGAGAGTCTTACAAAGGTAAGGGTCGGACTGTTTTATGCCAGAGATGTGAGGTGCATTTGCTATACAGATAGAACGTCAGAGGCCACCTCACGCTTGCCCTTCACCAATCTTTCAATATTATCTGCCATGAATTTTAAGGGGGATGGATTGGAGGGGGGAGGCTTTGAGAGAAACAAAACTTTACGGTATCTCTCCAAGATGGGTTTCAAAGACAAACCGACATGGCTGGCTGGGGAATTCTGGAAATTGAAGTTCCACACTTCTTAAAGTTGCCCAGGTTGGGAAACACTGTTTCAGAGGGATCTGTTGTTTTTTTTTATTGTGCAAGATTCTTGCCTACCTTTTCCACAAAATCCCTTTTCTTTGTCCTCAGGACCCTTTCTGGCCTGGCTCACTGGTCCACCATCTTTGGCGAGATGCCTTACATCCCTTTGCTGGTTTTCCCCTTTGTCAAACTCTTCCAGAACAATCAGCTTATCTGCTTCGAGGTGGCGGCTACCGTTATAAGTAAGGAAGGATTTTTGATGGAAAGGTCACCAAACAGTTCAATGTCTGGCAGAGCTTAAATGTTGCCGACGGGAAATTGGAGCTCATTTCTGCATAGAGAGTTGTGTATGTTCATCACAGCTAGGTGAATGGAATTTATATAATAATAATAAAGTTGGAAGGGACCTTGGAGGTCATCTAGTCCAACCCCCTCTCAGGCAGGAAATCCTATACCATTTCGGACAAATGGAAGTTGAGTACTACTAGTCCTCGACTTACAATCACAGTTCAGTCCCAAATTTCTGTTGTTAAGCGCGACAGTTGTTGAATTTTGCCCCATCTTACAATCTTCCTTGGCACGGTTGTTAAGTGAATCACTGCAGTCGTTCAGTTAGTAACATGGTTGCTAAGTGAGTCTGGCCTCCCCATTGACTTTGCTTGTCAGAAGGTCCGAAAAGTGATCACATGACCCCAGGACATCGCAACGGTCCTAAATACAAGGTCCGAATTTTGATCACGTGACCACGAGGATGCTGCAAAGGTCCTAAGTTGGAAAAACGGCCCTTAGTCATTAGTCAGTTTTCGGTCTCATTTAAATGAATGGTTGCAAGTCGCAGGCTACCTGTATTCCAGACAAAACCGTGGCCAGCTGAAACTCTGGAGCAACTTGGTTTCCGTTCGAAGCCTCTGAGTATCTTGGGAAGGTGGAGGAATCCAACTTGCCAGTTGCAGCTCCAGCCTCCTTTTTTTGCCAAGGAAAAACAATGCAGGCGGTAGAGAAATCCAGAGGACCCCTTCAGGTCCCTTATATTTCCTCAGTTTTGTGCCTTCCAGATATATTGGACTGTAGTTCTCATGTTCCTCAGGTGGCTGAGGAAAAAAGGGCCACTCAGAGGTCCTGCATTTGCCATTGTGAAAGAAATCTTTGCCTTTGCCTTCAGGTAACACTTCGTTGAGATACAGCCAATAACTGCTGAGATTCTTTTATGTTTTCTTTTTCAGTCAATTGGTGTCAGCACTGGTTTGAATTTTTCCCAAATCCTCCTATCAATGTCCTCAGTATGGTGGAAAACATTCTAGCACATCATGACAAAGAGCTTCTTCACCATTTGATGAAGTACAATATAACCTCTCAGGTAAAAAAGAAAAGAAAAGAAAGAAAAAGGAAACTGCTTTTTACATTGAGATGAGCCATAAACCGTGGTTTGCAAGCAACTGAGATTTTTGTTTTTGTGAAGGGTGTATGGAATCAAACAACCATATTGTTTCTTAAGAAAAATGCGGGAAGACAGTTTGTTATTGTATACAGCAATGTTTTTCAACCTGGGGAACTTTAAGAAGCCTGGCTGTCTGGGGAATTCTGGGAGTTGTAGTCCACACCTCTTAAAGTTGTTGAGGTTGGGAAACACCAATACAAGGCATAAAGGCAGGGGTGTCAAACTGCTGGCCGGCAAGCCAGATGCGTCATGCCAAAACCATGCCCCCCCATTTCCAGCAATGGGGAAAAAGTCATGATATGTCACGACACATCACGTGACGTTGCGAGTTTGACACCCCTGCATTAAGGTGTCAAAAACTCTGAAAATTTATCACCATCTTTTTAATGTGAGAATGCAAATTCAAGGTGGGCATCCCATATGCTCAAGTAAACATTTATCTTGCAGTCACCACACCACCCCAAGAGACTTGGGCCCTCATATTTTCAACTTGTACTTTGTATGCTTGTGGTATGTCCAGCAACATGAGCATCCAAAGTGGTACCTTACATTTTTGTGTAAATTAGGTTATGTCTATTTGAGGTTTATGGTACATTTTTTCTGCATTTCTTGCCTGTAGTCTGGCAGTTGTAGTAAGGAAACAACCATGCAGAAAGGTTTCAGAAATCATAGAAGGCTCCGTGATCTCAGATTCCTAGCCCCAATTTATAACCAAAGATTACAGTCTTCAATAGCAATAGCATTAAGGCTTCTATACTGCCCCATAGTTCTTTACAGCACTCTCTGGGTGATTTACAATGTCGAATAATTATTTGCATCTTGCCCCCCAACAATCTGGGTCCTCATTTTACCAATCTCCGATGGAAGGCTAAGTCAATCTTGAGCTGGTCAAGATCGAACTCCAGGCTGCGGGCAGAGTTTGCCTGCAATGCTGCACTTTAATCACGTACCACCAGGGCTTCAATCCATCTGTTAAGTTGTAATTCTGTACATAACAAAACTTCCTTTTAAAACTGGTATCCTCTAAAACGCCCGGATTATCATTCCTGTCACTCCAACCCAAGTTGTTCCTAGACAAGGTATATGAACCTGGGACAATTGGAATCTGAATTTTCCAAGATGTAATGAGCTTTCCCCCCCCCCCCCCGGACATTTTGTGCTTGAGCTGATCTTGTTTTGACGCGCAAGATACAGCGACTATAACTGATCTCTCTGCCTGTAACTGCAGAGCTATGCCTGGCCCCTTCTGGAAACCATGTTCTCCGAAGTCCTGACAAGGGAAGAATGGCTTAAAATGTTTGATAATATCTTCTCCAACCACCCTTCCTACTTGCTGATGGTGGTGGCTGCCTACCTTATCTGCTCCAGGGCTCCATTGCTGCATTGCAGTCAGAAGGAGGACTTTGAGGTAAGTCCCTTGCTGTATGTATGTATTTATTGACTTACTTATTCGTATCCCGCCTTTATTATTTTTACAAATAACTCAAGGCAGCGAATATATCCAACTCATCCTCCTCCTGCTCTTTTCCCCACAGCAACAGCAACCCTGTGAGGTAGATTGAGCTGAGAGAGAGGGACTGGCCCAAAGTCTCCCAGCTGGCTTTCATGGCTAAGACAGGACTTGAACTCAGGGTCTCCCGCTTTTTAGCCTGGTGCGTTAAAAATTTGACCAAGCAGTATGTGCTGGACCGGATTGTAGCCAGCTAGAAAACTGTGTTAGAGTATTAGCATTTACAGGGTTAATGTTGTATCATTGAGAGAACTGTATGTAAGAAGATATAGCATTTAAAGGGTTAAATGCTGTTTCCTTAAGAGATGGCTTATGGGTAAGGTAGTTTCAGTTGTTAGTTAATCTTATAGCTTATCTAGTTAAGTGGGAGGAGTTTAAAAGTTATTGCTGGACTTCCTGGCTTTGTGCCATTATATCATCTCTCTGCATGGATTCCTGGCCGCAAGGCTAGGAAGCTCCATGCCAGCCTGTAACTTTTATGCAGGATGGAGGAATCCATTATCCTTTTACCTATGGGAATGAACAATATGCAAATAACCAGATGTATCTTCTGCATAGTAAGTCTTTGCTTAGAATTCCTGGACAATAAATATTGTTTTAAAATCGTTCTCATTGAGTTTATGCTGTCCGGACCAGAACTACAAGGCATCTTAGTTCATGGTTCTGGAATACAGTATGATCCAAGGCTAAGCAGATCTGTTTGTGAGTTCTAGTCCACTTTCTGGAAATGGGTTTAGAAACCTGGATTTTCCTGCCTGACACATGAAACATAGATCAGGCCATATAGTAAAGCTCCTATTCGGTATTTTACTCATGGGTAAAATCACTAGATGAGAAGAAAGAGAAGAAATAATGGATGTAGCTTTGCCCTCAGAAGGCCACTTGTAGAAACCCTCTGCAAAGTTTGGAACCTGGAAAACGGATCCTTAACTTGGCAGTTGGACAAAATGAAAAGGGGATCCCTGGAAGAATCAACCCTCCAGCTTAAGGAAGGTGTCAGGAAGGCCTCGCACATCTTCTATCCCTCCGATCCTTTTTTTAATAGATATACATTTATTAAATTTTCATAATATAAAATACAATTGGAAATAAAGATAGTAGGGAAATGGGGAAGGGGGAAAAGGAGGGAAAGAGAAGTGTGGGGTAGGAGGAAAAAGCAGAAAAAATGTTAACTTCCAACTTTTCTCAGTGCAGTAGAATAAAAATAGTAAAGTCCAAGTCTAAACTTTTTGCTTCTACATATTCAATATACTAGCTCAGGGGTAGGCAACCTTGGCTCTTTTATGACTCGTGGACTTCAACTCCCAGAATTCCTGAGCCAGCATGGCTCAGCTTGGAAACCTCTCCCTTTCCCCTCAGCATGGCTGGCTCAGGAATTCTGGGAGTTGAAGTTCACGAGTCATAAAAGAGCCAAGGTCGCCTGCCCCTGTTCTAGCTATTTCTGTAACAACAGACTTATCTATTCAGCACCAAAGCCAAATTTTCTCTCTCTCTCTCTCTCTCTCCCTCCCTCCCTCCCTCCTTCTCCCCAACTCACTTCACAGGGTTTTTGTTGTGGGGAAAATAGGAGAAGGAAGGTGTATTGGATATGTTCACCGTCTTGAGTTATTTGTACAAATACTAAAGTAAGGATACAAATAAAGCCTCCAAATGTAGCATGATATGATATGGATAATTGTACAAATAAATAAATTGAAGAAACTTAGCAGCTTGAGTATGGTTTTCTTTGTGCCTCCGCTGGGCTGCAGTACTTCTTCCACCATCGGAACCACCTGGACGTCAGCGTGGTGATCCGAGAGGCCTACCATCTCATGGAGTGCACCCCAGACGACATCCATCCCGTCCGTATGCTGGAGGACTTTGCACCTCTGACCAAAGGACAGTACCCCATCTTTAACAAGTACCCCAAGTTCATTGTGGATTACCAGTCCCAGGAGCGAGAACGGATCAGGCAGGAGGAAATTGAGTACTTGAGAGAGAGGTAGGTATTCTTGGATCCGATGGAAAGATGAATATGAACATAATTTAGATGGAGGAACATCATAGTAACACTGTTAAAGGCTCACTCAGACCCATGGGCTCAGATATTCAATGCCAATAGAGGATTACACCTCATATATTTGCCTTTTTCTTCACATTTTTGATCTGATTTACATAGAGTAACCTTCACTGAATCAGACCAGATGGGGAGCACCAGGGAAAAAAATGTAAAAAATGTCCGAGCACATCTTCACATTCCCTAATCATTATTAATGCAATTCAATGCCCTGAAAGTACTAGTGTTTGAAGAAAGCAAAATATTGTACGACAATATCCATCCATTATTCTAGCAAGCACAGCATCTTTGCTGACCAAGATGATTGAATTACAGTCCAAGACAAATGGGAGGTTGGAAAAGCCTGTTCTGGACTTTTATAGAATATAAGCTAGCTCAGGGGTAGGCAACCTTGGCTCTTTTATGACTCGTAGACTTCAACTCCCAGAATTCCTGAGCCAGCATGGCTGGCTCAGGAATTCTGGGAATTGAAGTCCACAAGTCATAAAAGAGCCAAGGTTGCCTACCCCTGAGCTAGATTGTCCCAAAAGTGCTTTTTCAAAAAGCGACTAGACCAGAGCTGAAGACGTTTCATGGATGAGAAGGGAATTGTCTTCGAGGAAAAAACAAAGTCCAATTTCCTTCTGGAAAAGCACTTTTGGGGCAACCGTGACTTGGATGGCTGAAACTCTCCATAGACAATAAGCTATATTGGTTTACTCTTGTGAGTTCAGTCTGAAGGTCTTAAGGCAGTCCAATTTGAGGTTGTAACCTGATACGTGTATGAACCCAGCGTAAATTGAGCCTCTGTTTGGGAGTTGAACTGTCTGACTTCTCTGTCTGATCTTTGGGAGATAGGGAATAAAGTGTTTGGGGGGAAAAACGATTGTCAGAAAGAAAAATGAGTATCACCCTTGCATGCTATGAATTGCTTTGGTCAATGTTCTCCACCGTGGAGAAAGTTGACTTTGACCCTATAGCCAGAATAGGTGTCCTGCTGATCAGATGAAACATGAGTCAATCCGTGGCTGAAAGCAAGACTAACCTCCTTTCCCTGCCTGTCTGGAGAGGACAACAGGATTCCTTGACCCCTGCAGAGTAGAGCATCGCTGATTCAGTGCTTCCTCACAGGCAGCTGCTGCATGAAATAGAAGCTAAAGCAATCGAGCACCGAGTGGAGGATGAAACATGGTATCGAAAGCAGGAGCTGCTTCAAGAAGCTGAGGAGCAAAGGAGGAAGATTCTACTCACCGAAGAGGAAAAACTAGTGGAACAGAGACGGCGGTAGGTTCGGGGTTACATCTTTGCTCCTAGTTGGTAGTTGTCAGGAAACTGAATGCTGAGCTTCAGAACAACGCCTGCTTCAGATACTTTTCGTCTTAACAATAATGGATCATTCTGGGGGTACCTACACCCCTGGTTCTGAATCATGACAGCCGGTTGCCCCCTACCCCGTGGTCACAAGACCGCGGGTCAGGCATTCAGCAACCGACCCGCTCCTATCTGGAAAGCCCAGGTAGAAAGCAAGTGGAGGCTGCAAGATCACGCTTCAAGGTCCAGGCTATGTGCCCGCGAGTGATCATAAGCCAGACACGGGGCTGGACTTAACTAATATATACAGACCATGGTATCTAAGCCTCTCTCAATATAGGAAACAAACCAAAGCACCCTAATTCAGAGGTCCCCAACCTTTTGGGCATCAAGGACCAGTTCCATGGAGAGAGGTTTTTCCGCGGACCAGAGGGTGTGTGGTTTTGTGTGCTGCCTGCATCCCATGGATGGGGCTTTGCTTGTTTGTGCGAGCCAGTTGCTGGCATGCCGCGGCCCGGCACTGGTCCACAGACCGGGGGTTGGGGACCCCTGCCCTAATTGTTGTCTACTCAGTTATTCAGTTGGTATCCATTCCTCTTACAAAATGGAGTTTGCCTGCTTTAGATCACTCCTTTGTAGAGATCTCTGTGTCTCTGGATGAAAACCATTTATGCCTGAGAAAAAGATAAGCGAGAGAAGGATATGACAGGTCTATGAAAATATGCACAGCCGGGAGAAAATGAATGGGAAAATATTTTGGTTTCTTTTGTAATAACTGGAACCCAGGGCTGCCCAGTGAAGCTGCATCGTGAGTAGACAAATACTACTTTTTCCAGAGAGCTGGGTCTTCACATTATGTATCCAAAGTGAGATAATTTGAGCTGGGTCATTTGTGCCTGAAGTGAAAACTCTGGGTTGTTTGGCTCAATTATCCATCAGTCTGTTTTCTTGGCTTTCCGTGGTATTCTCAAGAGTCTTTTCCAACACCAAATTTCACAAGCATCAATACATTTCCTGTGCTGCTGCTTCAAAGTCCAGCTCTCACTTCCATAGATTGTCACAGAGAATACCACGGTTTGCCCAATTCTGACCTTTGTATATACAGACATATTTGAATATCTTTTCCAAGACCTTCATGGCTGTTCTCCCACATGCTAGTCCAGTGTTTCTCAACCTTGACAATTTTAAGGCAGGTGGACTTCAACTCCCAGAATTCCACAGCCAGCAATGCTGGCTGTGGAATTCTGGGAGTTGAAGTCCACCTGCCTTAAAATTGTCAAGGTTGAGAAACACTGTGCTAGTCTGTGTCATATTTCTTGACTGTTTGTTCCTTTATTGTTGATGCTGGATGCTAAAAGGCAGAAGCTCTACACCACTTCCACACCTTCATGGTCAATTCCAAGGTTGATGGTTGTACTTGTTGTCATTAGTTTGATCGTCTTTATGTCTGTGCTCCTTGAGTTTATTACCAGAGCTTCCAGATCCTATGCATTTTTAGCTATCAGAGTAACTGTCAATGCTGCAAATGCTGTATGTTCTTGCTTTGACAAAATATGCAGAACTGTCTAGTATTTTTAGAGTTAATTCAGATGATGTGGGGGGGGGAGGAGAAAGATAGGACTGCTGGCCGGGAAGAGACCGGAAGAGAACCTCTGCTCTTCCACCTGATAGGAGTACATGATATATGACAGCAAATTTAGGGAGGGAACATGCTGGTAAATTAATTGCTCAGAGGAAGAGAATTTTAGATCTTAGCATCAACTTCCGTTGTGCCTGTGCCGACATTTTGTAACAATAAATTACTTTTAGGAAAATCAATGCCTGGAAGTTCTTTGAAGTGTTTCATTAGCCGGAACCATAACAGTAATGTCATTGGCATAGCCCGGGTTCATGATGTTTCTTCCTCCAGTTTTAAAACCAAGACAGAATGCATCTCAAATATAGTTAACTCAAGCACAACCATTTATTTTATTTTGTATTTGATTTTATTGATATGGTTGCTCATCTTCTCAGTGCGACTTTGGGCAGCAAACAAGTTTAAAAACAGAGGTGCTAATAACAATGCAAAACAAAATCACACATAATCAAAGCAAAAGAAGGGCCACTAAGGACACTCTCTCCCAACAGTAACAAGTCGCATGGGCTACACTAACTCTGGGCCAAAGGCCAGCAGTATCAGATCTAATCTGATTCCATGAAATAGTCATTTCCAAAGGATAGGCACCGTGGCCAAAAATGTCCCCTGGCATTCTTTAATCAGTGGAACTCAAAGCATGCCCCTCCTGCTGGAATTCATGGGTGGGTGAAGACAACTGGAGACACACAGTCCCTCAAATCTCTTGGCCCCAATCCCATGAAGGCCCTTATACAACCAACACCTTGAGTTGCATCTAGAAGCCTAACGGGAGGGCAAATGTTTAAATCAAGAGAGAGAGATCTATTGTCTTCTTTCTTCTATGTAGTATTCTCAGATGTCTGGCTGGCCACCAACAGAATGCAGCATCACGAGAATCTTTTCCCTACTCCCAACAGAGCGAATTTAGGATGAGCTGTCCAAACTTTCACCTGGCCTGTTTGCACCCACCCATGTGCTCCCGCCCTTCTCAAGCCGGTTTTTCTTTTTGACCCTGAAGGTTGGCTGCCGTCAAGAGAGAACTGAAAGTGAAGGAGCTGCAGTTGGTGGAAGGCGCACGGAGGCGCTTTCTAAAATACCAGCAAGATCAGCGGGAAATGGAGCTTAAAAGGCTCGACGATGAAATTGCAAGAAAGGTAACCTGTAACCACTTCACCTGTGGGCAAGAGAACAGGAACATTCTGGCATTTCTGTTTGACCGGCTTCCTCAGTTCCTCCCAGGGAACAAGTCTAGGCCAGGGCTTTTCAACCAGTGGTACGGGTACCACCTGTGGTACATTGGCATCTGGCAGGTGGTACGTGACCATCCTAGAAAAGTGGTAGCGGGGGAGGGGAATGAGCTGAACCGGTGGCAGCACCCCACAAGCCTGAGCGAGAGATGGCTGGAGCTGCAGGGCTGTCAGGGCTCAGCGGACGCGCCAGGATCAGCACTTTTTCGGGGCTGTCAGGGCTCAGTGGAAGCGCCAGGATCAGCGCCAGGCTCCAGATGGAGCTCGGCGCTGATCCTGGTGCTTCTGCTGAGCCCAGAAGAAGCGCCGATCAGCTGGAATGTTGCAGCAACTCCAGGGTCTTGTGATTTACATTCAGATGCTTGGCAACTGATTCATATTTATGACGGTCACAGTGTCCCAGGGTCATGTGAAGTGACCAAAACCTGCTGCAACCACCCAGCAGATGGGAATAAAAACCAAACACCCCCCCACCCCACCCCTGCTGCCAATCCTCAACAGAAATGCTCACAACAATGAAAACCTCAGACAGGAGGAAGAACGCTGCTGGATGGGCAGGAAGGTGTCTTGCTCGGCTGTGGCTTGGGGAGCACTTTTTTCAGTGCCATTGTAACTTCGAACAGTCCCTAAGCAAACTCTTGTAAGTCGAGGATTACCTGTACTTTATCGCTTTTTTCCCTTTTTTTTTTTTTGGGTCATTAAATTTTTGACACCTTGCTAGGCAACTGGTGGCACTCGGATATTGCCATATCCTAAAAGTGGTACAATGGATGAAAAGTTTGAAAAGCCCTGGTCTAGGCCACAATTCGCTGTTCCTGGTCTCTTCCGGGCTTATTAGACCACAGCTCCAATCATTGGCCATGTTGGTGGAGAGTTGGAATCCAACAGATCTCAAGAATGTTAACCAAAGGGTTTAGGATTTTTTCCATAGGCCCTCCAGGAAACTGGAGACTGGTGTCGATGAAGGATAGATTAAGGTTGTCCTACTTAACACCATCCATAGAGAAATTATGACATTTGTTATTGAAATGAGTGATGGCCAATTTGCCTGGGATTAAAAGAGGGGCAAATTAAACTCCTACAGGCTGACAGGTTAGTAGCCATGATGGCTAGATACAATCTCCAGGATCAGAGGCGGTAGAGAATAAGAGCAGGAGGATGTGACTAGGCGAATCACTGCAGAATAAGTGAATCACTACAGTTCTTAAATTAGTAACACGGTTGTTAAGTGAATCTGGTTTTCCCATTGACTTTGCTTGTCAGGTCACTAAAGGGGATCACATGACTCTGGGACACTGCAACCGTCATATATATGAGTCAGTTGTCAAGCATCTGAATATAAATCACACGATCATGGGGATGCTGCAACAGTCCTAAGTGTGAAAAATGATCAGAAGTCACTTTTTTCAGTGCCGTTGCAACTTTGAACGGTCACCAAATGAACTGTTGTAAGTTGAGGACTACATGTGTTCCTGGTTTAGAAATAGGAAAAACATGTGGTAAAATACTTTTCACAAGCAGTTAGAATGCAGTTTTTTTAACCCAAAGCAAAGAATTAAACCAGCTGTCTTCACACTTGGCCACTTTAAGACTTGTGGACTTCAACTCCCAGAATTCCTCACCCAGCCCTCAGGGCTGGCTGAGGAATTCTGGGAGTTGAAGTCCACAAGTCTTAAAGTGGCCAAGTGTGAAGACCCCTGAATTAAACAAAGAGATGGTAGCAAAGGGTAGGCAATTTTACTGGTTTGGTGTAACCACCTGCATTCGCTGTAGGCCTCCATGAGAGAAGAAGAAACAGCAGCTACCATTCGAGACGTCGAGGTGAGGCAGATGGAGCTGGAAACTCAGCGGCGACTTTTTGAACAGGTACGTGACCAGAACGTGGGGTGTTCCAGAGGCCGAATAACCAGACATCTAGGCTTGTTCTGTGAGTGCCAAAGAATCTTGCAAATCAGTATGGAGGGTTACTGCTAGGGTTAGATTTGCCCAAGTTGCAAAGTGATAGAAGTCTTGAATGTGTGATTGCTGTTCCAAGGTAGAGGTCAGCAACATCTTCAGACGCTATTGTTCACGACGGCCCACACATCCGATAAGTATTTTTTTTTAAAAAAAAAGTATTTGAACAGTCAAGTTTGATCTAGTAGTAGTAACTGTGAGAGGGATCTCGCAGTCCTAGTGGACAATCACTTAAATATGAGCCAGCAGTGTGCTGCAGCTGCCAAAAAAGCCAACACAGTGCTAGGCTGCATTAACAGAGGGATAGAATCAAGATCACGTGAAGTGTGAATACCACTTTACAATGCCTTGATAAGGCCACACTTGGAATATTGCATCCAGTTTTGGTCACCACGATGTAAAAAAGATGTTGAGACTCTAGAAAGAGTCCAGAGAAGAGCAACAAAGATGATTAGGGGATTGGAGGCTAAAGCATATAAGGAAAGGCTGCTGGAATTGGGTATGTCTAGTTTAATGAAGAGACGGATGAGGAGGGACATGATAGCAGCCTTCCAATATCTCAGGGGCTGTCCCAAAGAAGAGGGAGTCAAGCTATTCTCCAAAGCGCCTGAAGGCAGGACAAGAAGCAATGGATGGAAACTAATCAAGGAGAGAAGCAACCTAGAACTAAGGAGAAACTTCCTGACAGTGAGAACAATTACCAGTGGAACAACCTGCCTCCAGAAGCGGTGAATGCTCCAACACTGGAAGTTTTTAAGAAGAGACTGGACAGTCATTTGTCTGAAATGGTATAGGGTTTCCTGCCTGAGCAGGGGGTTGGACTAGATGACCTCCAAGGTCCCTTCCAACTTTATTATTATTATTATTATTACTACTACTACTACTACTACTACTACTACTACTACTACTACTACTATTAGTGAAAGCCTGCTGGGTGAACTCTCTCTCTTTCACACAGAGTTGGCATTCTAGGGAAAATAGAAGGGGGAAGGTATGTTGAATATGTTTGCCACATTGAGTTATTTGTAAAAATAATAAAGGTGGGATACAAACAAAGAAACACACAAAATAACAATGTTTTTCTATTCCAAGAACAACATCTCATGAAAGAACACAAAAATCTGTAGGAGTTGATCATCTTGCACATTTTTTAACTATTGAGATATATGCCTGTACCTGGAAAATTAATATATGGGCATATACAAATGCATTATTAACAGCCCTGTTAATTTTTTAAACGTAGGAATTTGCAGATGCCCTCTAGTCATTTTTGAGGGACTACGTCGCTCTGAGCTTGCCATAATTCATTAAATGATTCCCAGCTTCATGGAGGGGAGGGAATTAAATTCATTGTTTCTATTCTTGATTATTTTGGCTTTAGGGTGTATTTAATAAGAATAAGATCAAATGCAAGACAGGAAGAGACCGATAACTTCTCCAAAGATGGTGTTTGTATCTGAGATTTGCTTCAAGAAAAGTGGGCTGGGAAGATGGGACAGTTACCCAAAATAATCATCAATATTCTGATATTTATATAATATATTCATACAATGTATATCCAATCATTAAAAGACAGTTGAAGGAAGCATACTGACTTAGCATGACCACAATGCAGGTATCCCCTTGTGAGAAATCTTTTTAGCTTTGATTTGGAGTTCGTCATCCCACTAACTTGTTTTTTCTTTTTCAATCAGAAACTTGTCAAAGAGCAGGAAGCCATGACACAAGAAGTCAAAGGGGAGATGGACACCAGCCGGAGGAAAGCTGATCTCGAAGAGCGTTTATTTCAGAGGTTGATTGAAGCAGAACAAGGAGGAAACCAGAAAGTTCATGAAGTGAGGGCCTCATGCGAGACTATTGAATTTGCTCCAGATAATTGGGGCTTCTGTTCCTATATTCACTCTCCATTGGCCATGCCAGGCAGGATGAGTAGGAATCAAGGGGTCTTTGCTGTCTTTCTCTACTTGGGTTGGGGGGGAGCTTATAAAAAGGTTGCTTTGCTTTGAATTGGTGCAAAAGATTCTAGGATGGGTAGGCAACCTTGGCTCTTTGATGACTTGTGGACTTCAACTCCCAGAATTCCTGAGTCAGCATAGCTGGTTCAGGAATTCTGGGTATTCAAGTCCACAAGTCATCAAAGAGCCAAGGTTGCCTATCCCTGTTCTAGGACATTTGGAAGTTTCCAGGATGAATTATTGGCGTAGGATTATCTTGTACAGGTACTCCTCAACTTATGACTGTAACTAAGCCCAGAATTACAGTTCTAAGTGGTGGTCATTAAGCAGGTGCCATGTAACTGTGCCCAGTTTTACGATCTGTTTTGCAGCAGTTATTAAGCAAATGCCACATTGTTAAGTGAATGCCGCAGTCATTAAACAAACCTCATTTTCTTCAGTAGATGTTTTGGGTTTTTTTGCCAGAAACCAGAAGTAAATGCTGGAAACCAGTAAAAACTGGCAAAAAATCACGGTGACATGACCGTGGGATGCTGCAGCTTTGCTCCCATAAAAGTGAGCTTTGCGCTGGGTCCAGCTGTCAGACCTCCAGAACCAGATCATAAGTAGCTCTAGGGAGATCCATTGAAACTTTGAACAGTTGCTAAGCAACCAGTCATTAAGCAAGGAATACTTGTAGCTCTGTGTGCTACTTTGGATTTAAAAGCAAAAAAGTGCTTCAGAATATGGAGGGAGCATTCACACAAACTCTGTTTGCAGTTCCTTCAAGCAGGTACATCTTAGCTCAGGGGTCTTCAAATTTGGCCCTTTTATGACTTGTGGACTTTCCTGGCTGAGGAATTCTGGGAGTTGAAATCCACAAGTCATAAAAGGGCCAAGTTTGAACACCCCGGTCTTAGCTGACCAAATTCCTACATATCCAAAGTAGTTACTCTCTCTCCTTGAAGATTCTTTCTCCTACCTAGAGAAAATGATTGTTGTCTGTCTCAGTCTCACAAATATCTAGTAAATATCGTCTCCCACTTTTTTTTTTAAGACCAATCCAGGCTGTGGAAACAATTTGTAGATAAACTAATCCTTCTCGACCACCTGAGGCAGATTTTTAATCACAGACAACCATACAATTGGCAAGTTCATAAGCTTGATGTCCTGCTGGAAGGAAGATGTGCAGCTTCAGAGTCTGGTGCTCTCTGACACAATTTGTGCCATCTTAGGTGCTTGAAGAATCTTTAGCCAAAGCCCATCAAGAAAACATTGACGTGAATTGGCAAGTGGAGCTCCTCCACAAGCGAATCCGTGACGACATGGACCGGGACCAGCGATACCAAGAGGTGGCCAAACTCCTTCACAAGACCAGAATGGCAGAAGTTAAGCTGCTTGAGGCAATGAAAGAAGAATTGGCCGAAAAGGTGAGTGGATAAAAGTCTGCTAAAGATTGGCCTCTGCTGTTCTCCAATGGACACACAGCTTCCGTTGTGGAGATAATCCTTCTCTCTTCCTGCCTTCTCCTTTTCTAATGGAAATGTCCTGCTTTTCTATCGCATTTTAGCTGGAGGACACCGTAGAAAAAAAAGAGCAGCTGATGGCACAGCAGGACATCGCTGCTGCTTCGGATGCCAACAGGAAGCGGTTTCTGAACCAAGAAATGAATGACGCCATAGACCTGGCAGTGAAACTTCAGGATGAAGATGGCTATTTTGGTGAGTGGGAGGAGCTGTTTGTACACAGCAAAATAGACCGATAAAAATTTCTATTATTTTGTTCATGTGACATGTATTACGGTGACTGGGACTTCTGGGAGTTGAAGTCCACCTATCTTAAACTTGCCAAAGTTGAGAAACACTGCCCTGAAGACTTTAGAGCAGAGGTCCCCCAACCTGTGGGCCTCAGCCCACTCCCGGGCTGTGGGCTATTTGCAACCGGGCCCCGCGAGTGGCAGGCCGGTGCTCGCACGCTTGCAGACCCACTTGCATGAGCAGTGGGCATCGGTACACATACCCCTCACACAAAACCATCCCCTCTTCTCTCCCCCTCTCTGCACCAGGCCGCCAACCTGGAAAGATTGGGGAACACTGCTTGAGAGAGAGAGAGCCATCCACCTCTTCACTTTTGCTGTAGGTCACATTGTAACCGGTCTCATTTTTTAAAACTACATCTTGCCAAACATTACAGCTACTTGAGACGGTATTAGAATCTTTAAAAAAAAAATTAATAAATTTATTATGGCTGCCTGCTCCGAGATGATTTTGGGGCAGTTTATGTCCCATGCTCTGAATTAATTTGTTTTTTTAAAAAAAATAAATAAATAAGTGTTTTATAAGCCAACCCAAGGAATACCCTATACCAGGGGTAGGCAACCTTGGCTCTTTTATGACTTGTGGACTTCAACTCCCAGAATCCCTGAGCCAGCATGGCTCAGTATGAAAACCTCTCCATTTCTCCTCAGCACGGCTGGCTCAGGAATTCTGGGAGTTGAAGTCCACGAGTCATAAAAGAGCCAAGGTTGCCTACCCCTGCCCTATACCTAAAAACCAAGAGTACATTATCTGGCTGATAATGTAACGTGTCCACTTTCTACAGAGCGACTGCGGGATCTGAGAACCTCCAAGACTCAACAAGGTTCAGAAGGCCATCAGGAATCCTGGCAGATGCAAGTGGGCAATGCTTGTTTAAATGAATCCTCAGGCGGAAACTCTTCCATCCACTGTAAGTGGCAAAACATGGGTTTTGAAGGAGAAAATATTAGGTGTGATAATCTGTTCTTACATCTGTTGTTGTTGATAGCCATAATACTTGCAATCAAATAGTTTGTTGAAGGTGGAAAGATGTAAACCAAATTAGGAATCAACTCCTCGAGAAGGTTAAAGCTATTTTTATTAAGAGGAGCTGTAATAACATATCTGATTGGGGTTATACTTCCTACCCTTCTTATACTCTTATGAGCCTCTTCCACATAATTTCTGATTGTTTTGAACTTAAATTCTCCATCAAGGTCACCTTCCTTGTTCTGTACAAACAAGGACAAGATTGAAATCAGGGTGCAGTCAGTTTCCCCACCCTGGTGCTGTTCAGGTGCATTGGGATTACAAGTTCTACAGCTCCTCAGATCCAGATATGACCCAAGCTTCTTGAATCAGCAATGGAAGGACAAACTGATTTATTTTTAAAAAATCTCTCCTGAATAATTGTATATTTTCTCTGCCTTCCGGAGTCCATTTGGATGGTTAAATTCTGTTTGCTTTTATTTATTTCATTATATAAAATTATATGGCTGCCTAACTCACACACAGGTTAACTCCAGGCGGCTTACAACATTAAAAATCCACAAAAATAAAAACCCATAAAACTTCCCATCCCCCTTCTCCCCATAGCAACAGCCACATAAATAAACCGATTGATCACATCATCTCCATTTGTGGTCCCCATGCCCACTGACAAAATGGCCCTTGCGGCCTTTTGGAAAAGCAACAAAGTGGGGAGCCAATCTTAGGGGAATGATGTTCCATAGAGAAGGAGCCACCACTGAAAAGACCCTTTTTCGTGATCCCACCAGATGTACATCCACAATAGATGCAACCCTCAACATATCCTGAATTGCCTAAACCATGAGATGGGCAGCAAATAAATTTGATTGATGATAGATAGATAGATAGATAGATAGATAGATAGATAGATAGATAGATAGATAGATAGATAGATAGATAGATAGATAGATAGATAGAGATAGATAGATAGATAGATAGATAGATAGATAGATAGATAGATAGATAGATAGATAGATAGATAGATAGATAGATAGATACCCTTCCTTATAGAATAGGGCAATGGTGGCGAACCTATGGCACGCATGCCAGAGGCGGCTCTCAGAGCCCTCTCTATGGGCACGTATGCCATTGCCTCAGCACCGCCTCCCCCCGCAGCCCCCTCCTCACCAGCAGCCCCTCTGGAGGAGAGTCGCCCCCAGGTGCAGCCCATGCAGAGCAGCACAACCAAGGACATGGCAGCGGGGCAGCAGAGACAAGACTCCACCCTCACACCCCGTTGTGTGCAGATGATGTGGGGGCGGAGTGGGGGGGCAGGGGAGGGCAGGGGCAGGGCAGTTTTTGGGCACTCGGTGTCTAAAAGGTTCGCCATCACTGGAATAGGGATTGCTTATAGAATCTCTAGGAATATTTGTCCTTTCAAAATAAAACAGCTGGATGCTTCTTGGGTCTTACAAGATATAGCCACTGAGCTTGTGATGCTGATGTTGTAACCTAACATTTTTAAGAACTCCTCCTTTCACCTTTCAAGTCTCTTTAGACCGAGGACGGCAGGAGCTGGAATCGAAAGAACGGGAAATAATGGCTGAAGTTAGACAACTCAGAAAGAAGCTCATGTCTCACGCTCGGGGGAAGCCAGGTTTAGCACCAGATGCCCAGTGAGAGCTGAAGAGTCCTGATCCAACTGTCCATGGTCTTCTTCCATGAGATTCCGGGAAGACAAGATTGATTTTGTATCATGTTTTCAAAATACTTTTTAGAATTATTTTTGTATATAAAAATAAAACATTTGAACAAACATTGGATCTTTTTTAAAACGTTTAGCCAGCAGTTTGAATAAGTTTTAAATAAAGAGTTGCAATCTATCTTCAAGTCACAGAATGGCCGATAGGTAAGAGCTGAAAAAACGATGGATGGGGATTTTTTTTTCCTTCAGGAATGGCTTTATTTCTGTTGATCTCTTGGTCTGTTGGCCTTGTAGCAGCTGATTTGAGGCTTTTTTTTAAAAAAAAAATTAATAGCACTAAATCCTGTCTAAACCCTGAATGCTTAATACACAAGGATCGTTAGGGTTTTACAGACGTGATTTAGCAAAGGAAGTTCAGACGAGGAGATGCCAGGAGTAATGTTTGGAGAGTGACACATTGGGGGAAAATTGCTGCATGTTGGCATACCTGTTGTACATCTACTTGAGCTTGGAAATAGACTTGATTTCAAGCATCTCTAGGAGACAATGGCTTGTTGCATTTGAACTTGTGCATTGTTGAATAAGCCCTCTGAAATCCATTCCAAAGATCATCTTTAGTTTAGGTTTCTAGTGGCAGCCTGAACTTGACCAGTTACAATCATCATACTGACCACAGGCCAATAAAGCCTCCTTGGAGATCATTTTGACACATCCAGGTCATTACTTTGGCCATAACCCAGAAGTCTGCTATTTCCCTCTATGATGCTTTTTTTTTTGTTCAGCCTCACAGTGAAACCAACAGCTCTACATTGGTCTCCCACCCAAATGCCAGCCCAGCCTGGCCCTACTTAACTTCAGAAGCCCCCAAGGTTGGTCAATGCTATCCCCTGGTGGGCATCCATTTTGGTTGCTGAATCCTAATAGAAAAATCGCAATGGAAGAGTTGTTTGACCAAGAGAAAGCTGGGCAGCCATTCCGAGGGATGTCGCAACTGCAAACTGTAGCCTTGTGAAAGGGTTCGTCTACTAAACCTCTTGATTGTGCTGTGATTGTACAGTTCTGATCAACATTGTGGGTAATAAGTACACGGGGCCAGTGGTGGGATTCAGCCAGTTCGCACCACTTCAGCAGAACTGATAGCTAATTTTTTGTTGCCCAGGCCCAGAATGGACTTCCGGCAGCGGCATCCACACAGAGAACCAATTGTTCCACATATTTGAATCCCACCACTGCACAGGGCCCATCCCCTAAGAGGCATCTGGCTTCCAGGGTCGTTCACACCTGGAATGGCTGCCATTTGTGAATCCCAGAAGCCAAGATTTATTGGCCTAGTGACAACATTCATTCTCCAGAAACCCCAAAGATGCACCACGTACTTATCTTAGTACATGAATCCTATTTTGAAATATTAAAGATAGCCAGAGGGAAAGTTTTCATCTGCAGTATTAAAAATTAGCCAACATTTAGCACCGCAGGCTAGCTATCACAAAAACCAAGTGTGTTCTTTGGGAATGCAAGCTGCAAGCCTTTAAGATGTATGGACTTCAACTCCCAGAATGCCCCAGTCAGTCATGAGAGTCTTAAAATTGTTGAGATTGAGAATCACTGCTTCCAATTCATTTGTCACGTTTTTTTGCTTAAGAAAAAAAATCAAAGGATTTCTGCATGTACTTTTTGAATAACATGTGTATGTGTATACTTTTGAGAGCAGGCAACAGAATTTCATTTTTAATGTGCGCCAGTGTGCCCACAGTAAAAAAAAAATGACAATAAAGGCTATCTTATCTAAAATAAAAGCTCCAAAGACTGCTGTGATAAAAGATAGGGACATTTTTTTAAAAAATATCTGGCACTTTGGCTGAAAATCACAAGCTGCCCTGTTTGAAGGACAAGCAATCTAAGTTACAGCAAATCCAAATGCTGGTTCCTAAAATAAATGCCAGAATCTCTTTTTTTTTTTTTAACCAAAGAAAAATGTAGTGCAAGTGCACGTGTGCACAGAAGTAAATGTGTAAGAAATATACTTAAGTATGGGTTAAATTCTAAGTTGGAAGAGGCAAAATGCCATTTCTGCCCACTTTAGCCATTTCATCTTTACTCTCCTTGCTGTCCCTCCCGGAAGTAGGCTTAGGCGTTTGCACTCGAAATACAAGGTCGTTGGGATGGCACCAGGGGTCTCCTAACCTAAGGTTCGGGGTCCAATGAGGGGGTATTTTTATTTCTTCTCGGGCCGAAAAAGCTGCACTGCCCCGTGTGAGGCTCGAACTCACGACCTTCAGATTATGAGACTGACGCGCTGCCTACTGCGCTAACGAGGCGCATGTAAAGAGGGGTAGAAAATCTCCTTATGAAGAGGAAAACTCTGCAGAAGCGACGTCCTAATTCCTTAACTAAAAAAAGGGGGAGAATCGCATCTTCCACAGGCTTAAACGTATTTAAGTATCAAGCAGGAAAATCAAATCTCTCCTCTGTAGAGAAATGAGTTGCGTCGGTGAGAAACAGCCCCGGAATGAACGGATGGGAGGTAGTCCTCCCAACAAGCCGTTCCCACGTTCTCCATCCCCCCTCGGGAGAAAACTGCAGTGAAAGGAATGCGGGTAGGCAGAGGGTTGCAGATTGTGTCCAGGTCTAGACCATCTTGGGAGCGGGGAGCCAGGGCAACGAGGGACGGCAATCTGATTACCTCGGCTGGGTTTGAAAGGCAAGCAAGGATCGACCAAGCAGCAGCAAACAATAGGCAGCACAATGTTAGATGCCCGCTAGAGGGCAGCCGTTAGAGGACTCCGGCCCTCTGCTGCCCTCTAGTGGTCACCCCACATATAGCAGCCCTGTGAACGAAGACCAGACTTGCAGTGTTTCTCAGCCTTGACCATTTTAAGGCATGTGGACTTCAACTCCCAGAATTCCACAGCCAGCTATGCTGGCTGTGGAATTCTGGGAGTTGAAGTCCACATGCCTTAAAATGGTCAAGGTTGAGAAACACTGGACCAGAGTATCTGCCTTTTGTCATGATGATGATGATGGTGATTTTTTTAAATTAAAATTAAAATTTAAATTATTTTTTTTAAATTCTGGGCCCAAGTCCCAGAAATTCTGGGTGACTCGCAACCATCAAAGAAATAAATTGCAGTCAAATCAGTAAAAGACAAAAAGATGGCATTTTTAATGCTTTTCCCTCCCTTTTTATTATGGTTATAAATCTTAGTAGCTGGTATTGTTCCGTCCATTGATATTTGCATAATATGATTAGAAAGCGTTAACATTTGGTTGTATAAATAGCTTAGAATATTGAGACCCAAAAAGGGATGGAAAAAATATTCTATTGGTCTTACAATTTGGAAGGCAATATTATAAGAAGCATATTATTTAGCTTTTCAAACCAAATTTGAGGAGAAGATTGGATGGTGAGGTGGAGAACCACAACTTACGACAAAATAATTGTTATATACTAGAGGTACCAATCTTAAGCGGATTTCTCAATAAAGTCTCCCCTTAAATTGTTATTTTAAAAGGGTTTGTCTGTGTATTTGTGTACCAGTGTGTGTATATACAAGTAGTCCTTGACTTATGATCAGTCACTTAGTGACTGTTCGACACTGCAATTGACCCAAAAAAGGGGACTTATGTCCTGAATCCAAAATTCTGACAGTCAAACCCCCTTTGCGGTCATGTGACCAAAATTCGGACATTCAGCAATTTGCAGCACCCTGCAGCCACATGACTGCATTTTATGACAGCATCTGACTTTTGATCATGTGACCATTAGAATTCTCCAACAATCGTTAGTATGAAATGACTTTTTTCAGTGTCAGTATAACTTCAAACTGTCACTAAATGAATTGTTGAGGACTACTTATATGGATTAAACTTAAGCTACCCGCAGAACTAACTGCTCAGGGGCATCCTGTCCTACCCTCTCAAGTCAACTGTTTTTACATTTTTATTCATTCAAAATATTAGTGTATCATTTCCAAAGCAGTAATAATGATAAAAAAAATCCTTGTTCTCTGTTGACTAAAGTTTTTCAAATGGTGAATTAAAAGTTTATTGAACAGAATCTGTCTGTCTGTCTGTCTGTCTGTCTGTCTGTCCGTCTATCCATCCATCCATCCATCCATCCATCCATACATCCATCCATCCATCCATCCATCCATCCATCCATCCACAGGGTAACTGGGCAGCTTACTATCTTAAACAGATAAAAACTATGCAAAACCTAAAAGACATAAAATACTGTCACGATCCAATTACCGAGCCTCAATTAAAAGATGGGGAAGAAGGGTGGGCAAGGTCTATAGAGAAACAGTGATGGCACCACAGCTGGCAAAAAAAAGGAATAAGAAGGGCCAGACGTTAACTTTTCAAATAAAATGGCTCATTCTTCCCAATGGTAAAAACACTCCAATATGCACAGAGGTACAATGGAAGGGCTGAGTTCCTGTTCATATGTTCTCTTGGCAAGCTGAACCACTTGTCTGGAATGGTATAGGGTTTTTCCTGTTTGAGCAGGGGGCTGGACTAGAACGGGGTGTCCAACTCAAATAACCCTAATTCTAATCCTAACCCGCGGGCCTGGTGTTTGACACTTCTGGACTAGAAGATCTCCAAGGTCCCTTCCAACTCTGTTATTCTGTTAAAATACAGATGGCCCATTGTGGAGACCTTTAAGCTGCTTCTACACAAGGGCTTGCAACAGATGAGTTAAATAGAACTGAAATACTGAAGAAGCGCTTCAGTGCAGCCATTTTTGGGTATTATGTCGGACAGTCCGTGTGAGAAAAGCAATCTTTGAGTTTCTGGAACCATTTTCTTTCAAACTCCACAGTGGATGCAGTCCTGATGGATGTTAGGACTGCTGAAGAGAGGCATTTAACCTCTTCCTGAGCGTCTCCTTTCAGCTTTTCCGGAACAAGATCTTCTCCCATAACCTACGAGAAAATGTGTATGCGGGAAGCACAAGTTTCAGTTTTACAGTTAGCTTAAAAAGCATTCAGACTTAACTGCAAATACAGATATTTCTCGACTTATGACCACAATTGAGCCCAAAATTTCTGCTGCTAAGTGAGATGGTTGTTAAGTGAGATTTGCCCCATTTTATGACCTTTCTTGCCACAGCTGTGAAGTGAATCGCTGCAGTTGTTAAGTTAGCAAACATGGTTGTCAAGGGAATCTGGCTTTCCCATTGACTTTCCTTGTCAGACGGTCACAAAAGTGATCCCGTGATCCCATGGCACTACAACAGACATAAACACATGCCGGTTGCTAAGCGTTCTGATTTTGGTCACATGACCATGGGGATGATGCAACAGTCATAAGTGTGAAAAACAGTCGTAAGTCACTTTTACCAGGGCCATTGTAATTTCAAATGTTCACTAAACAAATGGTTGTTAAGTCAAGTACTATAAATGCTTGTTTTTTCCCCCCAATGCAGCTCGTCCTTCTGAGATGGGGTGAGTTTTCTCCTAAACAGGATGGTGAAATCCCATCCAGGAATGCAACTTTAGGGCAATGGCCTAGGTCAGGGGTAGGCAACCTTGGCTCTTTTATGACTCGTGGACTTCAACTCCCAGAATTCCTGAGCCAGCCATGCTGAGGGGAAAGGGAGAGGTTTCCAAGCTCAGCCATGCTGGCTCAGGAATTCTGGGAGTTGAAGTCCACGAGTCATAAAAGAGCCAAGGTTGCCTACCCCTGGCCTAGGTGAAACACATCTTCTCAAAGTCAGAGACTCCTTTCATTTTTAGATTTGGTTGGCTCAGTAAGTAAAATTAGTTAAGCGTTTCCGTAGCTAGCCTTTGGGGTGGGACGGCTACTCTTTGGAGCAGAAAAAGTATTCATAGATGTGGTCACAAAAGTCAAGATGGCATCTGCAAGGCCCATTAATGGGCAGAGTTTCAATGGTCACTAAACAAATGTTAAGTCGAGAACTATCTTAAGCAGACAAAAACGTTTTAATTAATCCTGTAACTGCAGAATTCCGATTGTATTGGAGTGACAGAGGAGATGACCCCTAAGATAGCTTGCAACTACCCACATCCTGACATTTTTGAACAGGCATTCCTTTACATGATTATCGCCATCGCCTCTTATACTTCTGATAGGCTAATGGGAAAAAAAAATAATAAGCAGCTAGCTGCAAATTATTGGATGTTATTTCTTAATTCACGATTCACACTTAACGGCGAATGTTTACCCAACCCTTGCTGAATTGTGACTGACCTCAGTCATCAAGGACAAGCTGTCTGCCTCCAATTCAAAAAATCTAATTTTGTCTTCAATGTCCTGTTGCGTTCTCAGGTTAGTCTCTAAAGCGAAAGAAGACTGAGTCAACTGCATAAGCTGAAGCAAAAGCCTAGAAACAAAAGAGAAAAATGAACAGTTAAAGCCAGAGTTAAGTGAATCACTACAGTTGTTATAACACGGTTGTTAAGTGAATCTGGCCTCCCCATTGACTTTGCTTGTCAGAAAGTTGCAAAAGGGGATCACATGACCCCGGGACACTGCAACTGTCATAAGTATGAGTCAGTTGCCAAGCGTCTGTATTTTTATCACATTACTGTGGAGAATGCTACAATGGTCGTAAGTGTAAAAATGGTCATAAGTCACTTTTTTTCAGTGTCGTTGAAACGTTCAACGGTCACTAAATGAACTGTTGTAAGTTGAGGACTACCTGTTTATGCCTGTCCCCAAGTGCCCAAAGTCTGATCACATGACCAGAGGGACAGTCGTAAGTCACTTTTTCCACCACTGTTCCAACTTTGAACGGTTGTTAAATGAATGGTTGTAAGTCGAGACCTACCTGTACTTTATATGCAAATAAGGATGGGATGCGGCAGCAGCCAAAAAAGCTAATACAATCCTTGGTTGTATAAACAGAGGCATAGAATCAAAACCACACAAAGTATTACTACCGCTTTATAAAGCCTTAGTAAGGCCACACCTGGGATACTGCATCCAGTTTTGACCACATTACAAAAAAAATGTTGAGACTTTGGGAAAAAAATGCAAAGAAGAGCAACTATGATGATTAAAGGCTTGGAGACAAAAACAGATGAAGAACAGTTGCAGGATTTGGGAATGGCCAGTCTAGAGAAAAGAAGGATTGGGGGTGACATAACAGCAGTATTCCAGTATTTGAAGGGCTGCACAAAGAAGAGGGGGGGTCAACCTATTTTCCAAAGCACCAGAAAGCAAAACAAGAAGCAATGGATGAAAACTAATTAAGGAGAGAAGCAACCTGGAATTAAGGAGAAACTTCCTAACAGTGAGGACAATTAACCAGTGGAACAGCTTTCTGTCAGAAGTTGTTGGTTCTTCATCACTGGAGGTTTTTAAGAAGAGATTGGACAATCACTTGTCTGAAATGGTACTATAGGGTCTCCTGCTTGAGCAAGGGGTTGGACTAGAAGACCTCGAAGGTCCCTTCCAGCTCTATTCTGATTGACTGAAAAGAGAGTACCGTACCTGGCTCTAACAAAGGAGGCACATGCATAAATACAAATATCATTCAATCTTCGCTCCCCTAAGGAAGCTCTCTTCATTGTGGGTCGTGTCCCTGAATTTCCCAGCGTACAAACAGGTCTCTGCACACTTTGGCGTTCCACACAAGATCCAAAGCTGTCGTTTGGGTGGACAGTACACAACAAAAGATCATCCTTCCTCTGGCTCTGTGTCTGATGACACACAAAGCTGACCTCTTTTGATGCTACCCGGAGGCAGCTGCCTGCAATTAAGCCATCACTTTGTGACATACTGGCTTCTCTTGCTGACAAAGAAGGCAGAAATTGCAACAAACTCATGTAAGCTTCAGCAAGCAAATTCCAAGTCTGTGGATGAAACGGGTGCAACAAGATCAATTGTTGCAAGCATCCAATTACGTTCTCAATATCCTCCAGAAGGCGATAAATAGCAAACTGCAGATTAAGTACGGCTGTTACGTGGTCGGTATTTGTTGCCCCGTTTCTCTAGAAACAAAAGAAAAAGGAGTGAAGGGTGAATAAGAGTTAATGCTCTAAGGTGGTGTTTCGTAATCTTGTTAACTAAGATGTTTGACTTCAACTCCCAGAATTCTAAGCTGGCTGGGGTATTCTGGGAGTTCAAGTCCAGACATCTTAAAAGTGGCCAAGCTTGAAAAACACAGTGCCAACGTCTTCTTACGCCTAAACTCTGGAAATGACAATATATACTTTCCCCGATAAAACAAATCCACAATCTACTGAAATGGCAATCTAAAAATTTAATTCACAATACATTCTAGAAACCACCCAGTTGGTACATTTTATTGTACGGCATGCTATTCAGTGCAATACACACCGATGTGATTTTTTTTCTTTCTGTTTAGATTGTCTCCCAATACAGTGGAGATGGATTGACTAGCTGATTGATTTTCCAGAAGATAAAATAGAAAAACCAGCAGAAAGCTGATGGACGAGAATGCTGAATCCCCAACATTTATTTATTACCCTTCCTTTCTGCCAAGAGTACAAAATGGCATTCATAGCATCCCCTCCTCCCATTTTCCCTGGCAACAACAGTTGGGGTGAGAGAGAGTGACTGTCCAAAAGAGACTCCAGTGGTTTCCATGCCTAAGGCTGGACTAGAGTTTTAGTCTTTCCAGTGCAATTTATCCATTATAGGTAGTCCTGGACTTACGACCGCAACTGAGTCCAAAATTTCTATTGCTAAGCAAGACGGTTGCTAAGTAGGTTTTGCTCCGTTTTACGACCTTTCTTGCCACAGTTGTGAAGTGGATCGCTGCAGTTGTTAAGTTAGTAACACCGTTGTTAAGTGAATCTGTCTTGCCCCTTGGCTTTGTCTGTCAGGTCACAAAAGGTGATCACATGACCCCAGGACACTGCAACGATCATAAATACATGTTGCCAAGCTTTCAAATTTTGATCACATGGCTGTGGAGTTGCTGCAACGGTTGTAAGTGTGAAAAACAGTCATAAGTCACTTTTTTCAGTGTCGTAACTTTGAATGGTCACTAAATGAACAGTTGTAAGTTGAGGACTACCTGTACATTACACCAGCTTTCAAGAATAAAGCACATATCTGCAATGTTAAGTTATACTGAAGGATGCTTCCCAAAATGGCTGCCCTAATAGCTCTAGCCAGGCACAAAAGGTCCATTCATCAGAAGGGAAATTGGTGAATTTGAAATACTCTGAGAGTTCAGAACAGACTGAATATCAAAAGTATTCCAAAATCTTTTGGAGGCCAGAATAACGTTTCTTTCAAACTTTGTGCTTGTGTTTCAAGCACAAAATGTTGCCATTTCAAAATGTTTTACCTCCCTCGACTTTCACCTTTATTTTATTTTTTTCTGGACAGAGGGACATACTCCCATATAAAAACTGAGGTAATATCATTCTAACATTTTTTTTATTTTCCAAGAATGTCTCCAGTGTACACGTGGGCCCAGAAGCATTCCTGAAAACAGAGATTAAGTAAGTGCTTAATGATAGCACTTACTTGACAGCATGCTAGTTTCTCTTATTTATTTAAATTTATTTGCTGCCCTTTCGCTTTTTTTGACGATAGCCTTTTAAGAAACTTTAAAAAAGAATCAAATGGGAGATGACAGGCATGAAAAAATATAGCCCCAGATATACTGATATGTATACATTGAGGATCCAAGCTAATCTATAAAGAGAAAAGTCACTTGGAAAAATACCAACCAGGTTTTCCGCAATTCTCAAGGCTTCCTCATGTTTCCCCAGATGAGCTAAACAGCGGGCCTGGCTCTCTTTCAAATCTCTTCTCATGGCAGTATTACTGGAAGGCACAAGGGCAAGGCAACTGGAATATTCCTGAAGAGCCTTCTGAAATTAGATTTTATCAAATTTTAGTGTAACTCCAAAAGTGTGAGTGGGTTGTGAATTGTGCCAAATTATTCAACATCAGCTAACAACTGTATGTGATTAAAAGTAAACATGAGCATCACATGGATATTTTCTTGGTTTTTAAGTTCCAGCCAACTCAAAAAGGCTTCCCCCCCCCAGAACTGGATTATTAATCTACTTCCCAAATAATGTCTGGCCTTTCCAGAATGTGTGTGTGTGTGTGTGTGTGTGTGTGTGTGTGTGTGTGTGTGAATCAATACAGCGCAAGCATGAAAATACCTGAAATTCTTGTTGCTTATAGGCCAGATCTCCTCTGAACTTTTTTATGTTGATCCTTTCAAGATCATCCTGGCAATCTACCTGTTCACAAAACCACTGTCAAGAGGAAGAGGGGGGAGACATTTTGTTGCATTACTACAAAGGAATACCAGTATCATACACTGTAAAGTTTAAACCAAATTTTACATAGTCTCTCTTAAACACTCAGGGATGCTTTATTATTAGTTCCTACAATTTTCTCCCGATCAATGACAACACCCCCCCAAAGAATTTGGTTGGAACCTCCCTGAATTCAGGGAGTGACCACAAGAACTTCCAACTTGGCCAGACAACCACAGTGCCCTAACAGGTTTTCCCTTCCATCCCATTTCTTCCTTCTACCATTAAGAAAAGTAAAGGCTTTGAGTGGAATTTAACTTCTAGTGACACCATCGACAGTCGGAGGTTAGAGCCCAGAGAGGACACCACCAGGAGATCATAGATTTGACTAGCTAATCGAAAGCCAATTTGACATAGTGATTATGAGTAGCTGGCTTAGAAATCAGGATGCTGTGTGTTCTAGTCTTCCCTTAGGCACAAAAGCTGGTTGGGTGACTTTGGACAGTCACTTTCTTTCATCCCAGCCCACCTCAGAAGCCTGTAGTAGTGGGGAAAACAGGAGGCAGGACAGTTAGGTGTGTTCACTGCCTTCAGTTATTTTTACTTACACACACACACACACAAAATATAAAAACGACAGAAAAAAATATTATAATGTAGTATCCCATGCTTAACAATTGTTGATAAGAAAGCTAAAAAAAAAATCTGGCTAGAGGATATCGCAATACCTAGAGGCAGCAGAAGAGAAGAGAAAGAACTGGAGAAGGCAACAAAATGCAAGGACCTGCAGACAGAAGTAGAAGAACTGTGACAAAAGAAAGCAAAGATAGTGCCAATAGCACTAAGTGCCGTGGATGCAATCCCAAAACAACTGGAGCACCACTTGAGCACCATCAGCATTGACCAAATCCCCACCAGTCAATTGCAAAAGGCAGCCTTACTAGGAACAGCTTCCATCCTGCAAAAGACACCTTTAATATCATCAAACAGCATCTACCTATTCCAGGTCCTTGGGAAGGGCTCAATAGATGGACAAAGCTGCCAAATCCAGTTTAAGCATCTGGCTGACTGTGCAACCAACCATTTAATAGTAAGAGAAAAGGCACCCTGAAGAACACCACTGGAACTCTCGCTTTTATATGGCTGGGATTGAGAGCTTCTCCGGCTGTCCTGGTGGTCTCCTTTCCAGACACTGACTTCCAGATCAATAACAGCCCCGAATCCTAGCCTGTTCAGATCTGCAAGGATTGGGACAGTCATCTAAGTGGGGCAATGCCCCACCACACCACACTAAATTAAATCCAGCCACATCTGCCCTTAGTTCCTGCGGGCTAGCTGAAGAACAGCTTGCCCCAGCGCATGAGCAGAGTGCAATGTCCTTCCTCCAACCCAGTCGCACATCCCAGCCCCAACACGTGGGTCTGGAGGCACGAACGTCCGTGAACCTGCCCTCTTCACCTCGGGCTCGCAGCACCGGGCGCTGTAGTGGGAAGCAAGGGGGCTGCCGGCCCTGGACGCCCCGCCGCCCTCTTCGAAGACCGAGTCCTCGAACACAAACGGCAGCAGCGCCATGCTCCGCGCCGGTGAGCGACAACCCCGGAGGCTTCGCTGCTAGAGCGGCTTCTCGGGATCATAGACGACGCCGACGATCCCGGCTAGATGGTCTCAAGCCGAACGATGCTGTCCTAGACTTATAAGTACCTCTCTCCTCGGTGGGGACTCATCCGCTGCTTAGAGTTTTCGGGTTCGCTTTAGAAGTTCTTTCTCGGTGAGGAAGAGAGAGCTATTCACGTGTAGATCAACGCTTTGGGAAGCGACGGTCTTCAGATGCGGCTGGGCTGCCCTTCCCACATGGCTGAGCCCGTAGCATTGAGGAGATCACACACTCATGCAACCTGCTAACTTGTAGTTCCCTTCGATGCATTTCAATTGACTCAGTCGAGCCAGTTTACACAGCAAACTGTTGTTGTTGTTGTTGTTAATTGCGAAGTCGTGTCCGACCCATCGCGACCCCATGGATAACGTTCCTCCAGATCTACCATTTTCTGGAGTCCATTTAAGTTCACGCCTACTGCTTCAGTGACTCCATCCAGCCACCTCATTCTCTGTCGTCCCCTTCTTCTCTTGCCCTCAATCTTTCCCAACATTAGGCTCTTCTCCAGTGAGTCCTTCCTTCTCATTAGTATGGCCAAAGTATTTGAGTTTCAACTTCAGGATCTGACCTTCTAAAGGGCAGTCAGGGTTGATCTCCTCTAGGACTGACCGGTTTGATCGCTTTGCAGTCCAGGGGACTCGCAGGAATCTTCTCCAGCACCATAGTTCAAAGTCCTCAATTCTTTGGCGCTCAGCCTTTCTTATGGTCCAACTTTCACATCCATACATTGCAACTGGGAAAACCATGGCCTTGACTATCCGCACTTTTGTTGGCAGGGTGATGTCTCTGCTTTTTAGTATGCTGTCTAGATTTGTCATAGCTTTCCTCCCCAGGAGCAAGCGTCTTTTAATTTCTTGACTGCAGTCCCCATCTGCGGTGATCTTGGAGCCCAGGAAGATAAAATCTGTCACTACCTCCATTTCTTCCCCATCTGTTTGCCAGGAATTGAGAGGGCCGGATGCCATGATTTTGGTTTTCTTAATATTGAGTTTCAAGCCAACTTTTGCACTCTCCTTCTTCACCCGCATCAAGAGGCTCTTTAGTTCCTCTTTCTGCCATTAACAGCAAACTGTGCTACAACTTAATTCAATGCTTTTGACCTGGGAAACTGAGGTGATGTGGGCTTCAACTCCCAGAATTCCCCAGTCAGCATTTTTTTTTAGCCAAGTTCACACAACAAGCTAACTTAAAACTCCCATCCTATAGTTCCTGCTTTCTCTTAATCAGTACAGGTAGTCCTCAACTTACAACAATTCATTTAGTGACCTGTTAAAAGTTGCAACAGCGTTGAAAAAAGTGACTTATGACCATTTTTCACACTTATGACTATTGCAAATCCCCATGGTAGTGTGATCAAAATTCTGGTGCTTGGGAACTGACTCACATTTATGACTGTTGTTGTCTCCTGTAGTCATGTGATCACCTTTTGTGACCTTTTGACAAGCGAAGTCAATGGGAAAACCAAATTCATTGAACCATGTTACTAATTGTGCAGCAATTCACTCCAATTCATATTATGGAGCAAAAAAACCTTAACAAATGTCTTACTTAGCAACAGAAATTTTTGATTCAGTTATGGTCGTAAGTCGAAGACTACCTGTATTCATATGAAATCACTGCTGATCTGGAGCCCTAAGCAGTGTTTCCCAATCTTGACAACTTTTAAGATAGGTGGACTTCAACTCCCAGAATTCCTCAGCCTATTCTGAGAGTTGAAGTCTAATTAAAGTAATCCAGGGAAGATTATAAAATTGTAATTATAAGATTATAAGATTGTAATTATTTATTGTAGTGAGGGTTGGAAGTGATTGTATTTCATAACTTTAATTTCTTTTTCTTTATTGCACGGGTTTTTTTCCTCCCTTGCTTTAAATTCGTCATTTATTTCACGTAAAATGCTTAATAAGTATAAAATTTTAAAATGTATGCTTTTTCAAAGTTATAGATACAGAATGCTTTTGGCCTTCCAGTTCAGTTATTGTGGAACCAAAGTATTATTATTATACATAACAATGTGATTATTTATCATTCAATGGATCATTGGATGAATCAACCCACAGGCACAAATGACCACACTGAAATTATATCCTACATATTATGCAAAGAATAAACTGTGAAAAAGGCTGGGAAAGGTGGAAGGAAAGAGGAGGACGACCAGCAGTAAGGAGGATGGTGTCCATCTCAGTGGCCATGAGTGCAGTTGGGAGACTTAGAAAAACTAGGTGAGGGACAGATCATCTATCTATGTGATCAATAAGTAAAAAATAACAGGGCAGCACATAATCAGTATTATTTAGAGTGACTTGGTTGAGTTGGGTGGCTATGGAAATCGAATAAATAAAATTTTACCCCACCTTTATTTTTGCAAGAAATTAGTTTTGATCTATGATGAGAGCCTTGTATCCTTTCCCTGAAGCTTGGGAATAAAAATGAACCATTACTAAATGGATTACTCTAACCATTGTTTGCCCACTTAATGCTTAAGCCCATGAAGATTACTCTGCAAGGGAATATGACCCTTGTTTGGAAAAAAAAATATCACCATGTGACTGCAACAGATTTTACTTTTTTTTGCAGTGGTCATAAAGCAAATGCAGTGGTCGTAAAGTGAACGTTACAGTCTTTAAGTGAATGCCATAGTCATTAAGCAAACCCATGGTTTGCTATTGGGCATTTCTACCAGAAACTGGAAATAAATATGTTTCTGGTAAAAAAAAAATGTTGTCAATCCTGGTTCTATGACTATAGGACGCTGCAAATAGCTGTGAATGCGGGCCAGTTGCCAAACACCCAAAATGCACTCACATTGACTAGGGAGTGGCCGTTGTAATTTCAAATCTGGGTCGTAAGCCTTTCCAAGGTCTCTTGTAACTTCAAAAAGTCACCAAGCGATAGTCATACGCTGAGGCCTACCTGTATTTTGAAGTTGACCCTTCCAACTCCGAACATTTACATTGAATCCCCTAAAATAAATCTTCCCAATTAGATTAAAAGACACTGGGGGGGGGGAAGCTTCACTCTAAAACAGACATGTCAAACTCGTGACGTCATGTGACGTCGCGTGACGTATCGGAGCTTTTTCCCCATTGCTGGCAATGGGGCGGGCGCGGTTTCCTCGTGATGCGTCCGGCCCGTGGGCCGGCAGTTTGACACCCCTGCTCTAAAACAACTCTAAAAGGGAGTATGAGCAACTGTATTGCATAAAAAAAATTCCATTACTTCAGTAAGGGCCTGTTCAATTAGGTAGTTGCAGAAATTAATTCACATGAACTAGTAAATGGCAAGGAAGGTGGATTAAGCAATGATGAATTCCATGAAATACAGGAAAGATTTAGCAATACGCTAAAGCCTGAATAGCAGGAAATGTCATTACTGTATTTTACGTTTCCCCACACTGGATCTCTGTCAAAAAAAACTCCTATGAAGAATCTGTTAATGCTTTTTTACTTCTCGATGGTCAATCTGTGTTGTAAATCTCAGGTTTCAAGACTGCATGGCTGACAGAACATCTCTGCTAAGTGTGTGCTCCTGGACCAATTCATGAAATCTCCATACTGCACAACTTGGAGGCATGACACGTCAAAACTCTTAATTGCAACCTTTAGTTACAACTACTGTCAACGAGAGGCAGTCCTCGACTTACAACAGTTCATTTAGTGACTGCTCAAAGTTACAACGGCACTGAAAAATGTGACTTATGATCATTTTTCACACTTATGATAGTTGCAGCATCCCCATGGTCACGTGACCAAAATTCATATGCTTGGCAACGAACTCATATTTATGACGGTTGCAGTGTCCCGGGTTCATTATGATCCCCTTTCAACCTTCTGACAAGCAAAGTCAATGGGGAAGCCATATTTTCTTAACAGCCTTGTTACTAACTTAACAACCGCAGTGATTCACTAAGCAACTGTAACAAGAAAGGTGGTAAAATGGAGGAAAACTCACTTAACAAATGTCTCTTAGCAACAGAAATGGTGGGTTCAGTTGTGGTCATTAAGGTAGTTCTCAACTTATTACAATAGGGACCAGAATTTCTGTGGCTAAGCAAGGTGGTTAATGACTTTAAGTGAGGGGGTTTTTTTGGGCCACAATTATGGAGAGAATCACTGCAGATGTTAACAAAAACACATGGTCATTAAGCAAATCCAGCTTCCCCCCATTGACTTTGCTTGTTGGAAGCAGCTGAGAAGGATGTAGATCAGGGGTAGTCAACCTTGGCTCTTTTATGACTCGTGGACTTCAACTCCCAGAATTCCTGAGCCAGCCATGCTGGCTCAGGAATTCTGGGAGTTGAAGTCCACGAGTCATAAAAGAGCCAAGGTTGACTACCCCTGATGTAGATGGTGATCATGTGACTTAGGGTCTCTGCAACTATCATAAATACATACTGGTTGACAAATTTTGATCACATGACCCCGGGGATGCCGCAACAGTGCTGTAACTTTGAATGGTCGCTAAACCAATGGTTGTAAGTCAAGGACTTATCTGTATTACAATCTTTCGGCATTAACTGAAAGGACCAATTTCCCTTTGCTTTGCTGTTTTCAGTTTGACCATCCACAAATCTGCAAGTCCAGACTTAGAAAAGCCAGCTCAGTTGCTTATTAAATCTTAAATTACACCCAGTTATGGCCACACCCCACATTGTAATTTAGGCGGCAGCATTTGCCAGTTCTTGCCGTTGTAACCATGACAAAAGCAGCGTTATTACACCTTTTCCTTTTATAAGTTGTGATGCACACAAAAAAGGAACAAGATGTGTGTTACGGTACTTCAACTCTGCTTCTGTCTATCTGTCCCTACTTTCCTTCTCCCTCCTCCTACAGGTCCCACTGAGAGTAAGCCCAGATATTTTAGGGCGAGACCTTGCATGAGATTGCAAAAATGGCAGAGTCTTTGCATCCGTATGTAAGATTCTACTCATTTGAGGGGGGGGGAAAGCATTATGGAACCAAAGGCCAGCTAGGCAGGTGCCTTACTGTTAAGAGAGACTAACCTACCAAGATTAGCGGTCAACCTGCTAAACTTGTTTCAATCCCAACCTTGCGTTTAGCACCTTCCAATCTTCTTGTGGAAGGCGGAAATGTTAAGGAATCTCAGCTGGCAGGTACATTTGGACCAGGAAACAAAGATACTCATCTGGAAATGGCTTGGTAGGAACTTGTGATTCATGGGTTGTTTTCTGCTTGGGCAGCATCACTACCTCCATCAGGTGGACATTCATCTTCTCTTAGGAGGGACACCACAACCAGGTTCTACTGCCCAAAAACAGTGTTTCTCAGCCTTGGCAACTTGAAGATATACGGATGTCAACTCCCAGAATTCCCCTGCCAGCCATGAATTGTGGGAATTGAAGTTTACACACTGAGACTTCAGCATTCTGGGCACTGAAGTCCAGACATTTTGAAACTGCCAAGGCTGAGAAACACTAGTCCAAAGAGTCTTGATACAAGGGGGTGGAAGAAGACAATGAAAGGCCCTCTGAAGACAAAAAATGTCATGAGTCTCCCTTTTCATAAGGTCACTTGAGTGACCTCTCAGCCATGAACCTTTCATTAAAGAAACTGTCCTGCAGAAATTTAGGAGAAGTGGGTTTTCCTCTTCGATAGATGGAAGGGGGAAAAAAAAAAGAATTGCACAAACAAAGCTAAGTTTTTGGTATTGGCTGCATTAATTGATTCTAGTGTTTAAATATGATATACACGGATTAGTTTTAATATAAAAACATACTTCAGACCCCAATTCCCTGAACACAGCTAGAGAGACACATTCAGCAGGAGTTCTGTAAACCTAGTACACAGGCTCTCTATGTAACAAAGATAGTCCTTTCCTCTAATTTCCTTTAAAAAAAAAACCCGCAAAAACTTCAAGCGACTGTCACCCTCCCCTGGTGTCCCACTTTTGGTATCCTTTTTCCCCAAATCATTTTATTTTTCTAGACGCAGAGAGCCAAAGGGGTCACTGTGGCCAGCCACCTCCTCAGGGTAGGAATCCAAATCAGTGCATGTCCAACCAATGGCGGTTTAGTCTCAAGTCTCAACATGCCCATCACTTCTCTGGAGAAATGATGAACTGCTCTTTTATCTATGGGGGTTTTATCTCCCTCAACCTTCTACCAGAATCTTGTCTTCCTGTAACTGAAATCCATGTTTTAATATCTTGCATGCTGGGAAGATAGCCAACAAATCTTGATTCTCTTCTGTGGGACATCTTTTCAGGTACCTGAAGTTTCTTATGAAGGCTTACGAAGGTTTGGAGGGAAGAAAACCGACATGCAGCTTAGCAATAGGGACACCGTTGAGCACTTTTTTTTTCCATTTAGTGACAGTTCTTTCAACCCAGAGGGGTTGTCACTTTCTTAAAAACGAACCTCTTTCCTTACGGGATTTTTGGAAGCAAACATAAGGCAATTGAGCACATAGTCCCTTCAAGGTGCCCCTATCAGCAGATATGGACAACGGCTAACTTTCTGGAGACTTGGGAGATCCAAGTTCCAGACTTGGTTTTTCCATTTCTGCTCCACACAAGGAACAAGTTTGCATTGGATGCAAGAGTCAACCTCTCAATTCCTCCTTCAACGCGGAGCAAACTCAAAGTAGACAGTTTGCTAGAAGTAGGTCAGCACCAATCGCTTGGCGAGGCCAATTACGTGGCAAGGTTGGGTCCCGACAAGCCCAAGGATGTCCAAGTCAGTCCGATTTTGACAACCTACGCCTAACGTGCCGTGGGGGCTCCCAGTTGTCACTGTCATCTGTTTCTTCCTCCTCCTCTTCCTCCTCCTCTTCCTCCTCCTGCTCATCTAGCATCTCTTCTTCATCTTCTTCATCAAACAACTCAAGGCCAAGTTCGGCTCGCCTCTGCTTGTCTCCAAACCAATCCCTGACCTGTTCGTAGCCCATGTGTGATTTTGCAACCAGTTCGTCAAGATCCTGCTCATTAAGAAACTTGTGTTTCAGGTAATAATCCTTGAGGATTGCTTTTCCAGTTTTAAACTTGATGACCGGGGTTTGGTCCCAGAGTTTGATCCTTTTGTTGGATGTCAGCCTCCCGCGTGACCGACCCCGACCCCTCCCCTTGGGCCTTCCCCTCCCCCTCCGCCTGGAATGGCCCTGACCATTCGCACTGTTGGCATTGTTCCCTTGATAGTAGTAGTACCATTTCAAGCCACCGTTTTTCCAGGCGTAGCGGGTGTCCCCAAACCAACTCACGATCTCCGTTCGAGGAAGTGCCGTTTCTTTGGCCAACTTGTCATACTCCTCGGAGGAAGGCCATTGAGTTCGGATAAATGACATTTTGAGCATGTGCAATTGCTCCGGGGATTTTTTGCTCTGCTTCCCTGCCTTCTGGGCTCCAGAGCCTTCACCTCCAGAGGTTTCCGCTGCAGCAATTTCCTTCTGACTCTCGGCATGACCTGCATTCATTTCCTCACCTTCTTCCCCAGAACCACTCAATTTTTTCTGTTCTGCAAACCAAGCCTCTATCTCTTCCCTGGTCAGCTTTGTTTCTGAACATACCCTGCTTAGTTCATCCTCAGAAAGGACTGGGTGGTTGTGGAAACTGTCCTGGAGGACTTTAAGTTGCTCCGCGCTTTTGTCTTTGAACTTCTGAGAGCTCAAATCCGAGGCTGCAGAAGGCTGCTTCTGGTGTGGCTGGATCAGCGCGGAAGATTCACTCGTTTCGTCGCTGGAGTCGATAACGATAGTGCAGGAATCACTGTTTTGATGATTGTGATAATTGTGCTTTGAATTCCTCTGATTGTACCTGGTATCGCTGAACCATTTTTTAATCTCCCCTTTTGTCAATCCTGTGGTTTCCATCAGCCGGATTATCTCTGAATCAAGAGGAAAGTGACTTTTGAGATAGCTGACTTTTAATTCCATCAGCTGCTCCTTCGTCTTCTTCGCCCGGACGGCAACCGTATCAATGTTGGTGGTAGCTGCAGCCGCCACCACCTCCGATTTTGTAAGCTGGGGCGCGGGAACAGCCGCAACTTGCTTAGTTTCGGGAACAGGCTGTGTAGCTTGGCCCTGGGCCTTCTGCAGTTGGGCTGGGTTTGGAATTCCTGCCATCGCCAATGCGATGGGGGCCGTCACGGGAAGTGTGCCGGTTCCCGCGACTTGCGTAAGGACGAGGCCCGGTTGGCCGACGATTTGGCAAGTCTGCAAAATGGAAGGTAGACCGTTGTTAGCCGCCGAAATATGTGCTGGAATCACAGTAATTGTCTGAGGAACGGTGTGCACTGTGCCGTTAAACTGCTTCCTTCTTGCCTCCTCTACTTCTTCTGGGGTCCAGCTCACCCCGTGTTTCAAGCGTTGGGCGGAGAACCAGATTTTGATCTGTTCCTCGGTATATTTAGCTTGAGTAGCCAGGAGCGCGATTTCCGACACGGTTGGGTATGGAAATTTATTGTAAGTGTTCTGCAAGAGAGGATTGTTATCCAAAGCGGTGTTATAGGCTGGGATGCTGTTAATAGGGATCAAGACTTTAGAAATTAAATTAGACGTCGGTGGAGACGCGAGGGTGGCGATCACCTGAGCAGGCTGAATCACTGTGGTGGGGGTCAGAACATTGGTGGCCACTTCCCCAGCTAAGGAATTATCTGTGTTGGTGTCTGAACTTGTAGTGGCTCCTTTTTCTACTATTTCCTCACACTCCACATCGGTGTCGCCATCTTTTTCTTCCGTAGGATCATCCTCGGCTGCGTTGTGAAAAACCACAATTCGCTTTGTTTCGTTCTTATTCTTCATCCTTTTCATAATGGGGGTTTTGCTGATGGAGATGCCGGTCAAGTGGCTTTCTGAGCCCTCCGATTCTTCTCCCGTTTTCTCCTCTTGGACAAAACTCCCATCAAAAGTAAGATCGTTCACCGTTTGCTCGAAGATGGTTTGGTTGTTGCGCTTCACCATGTTCAGTTTAAAGTTCTCCTCTCCAGGATGGTATTTGGTATTATGTTCCGAAAGAGCATCATACCTTTTGGTAACAAATTTGCATTCGAGGCAGACATAAGAGGAGCTCAGGACGACGGTGGGGTGCTCAGAATCCACGTGGAAAGTAAACATATTTAAATCAGGAGTCTGGAAGGTACAATATTTGCATTCGTAGCCGCCTTCAACTTTTTTATTTGCCTGGCTGTCTGAATCAGCACATTCTCGAGAGTCCTCGTCGCTTGACACGCTTCCCACAGAGGTCATCACCGGTAACACCTCCTCCGCATCAGATACGGCTTCTAGATCCATATCCGGCTCTCTCGCCGGGACCATGCAAGGCACGGTGGATTTTCGTTTGCTGGCCATTTCCCCTCCGATGAAAAGGCAACAAGTCACACCAATTCAAGTTTCAACCCTTCAAGCTTTCCAGAGGCTTATCTGGTCGTGGGCTTTGGGCACTACAGCCCTGCAGGGTGGCTTCTCCCAATTTCGGCCCTCAGCAGCATCGCCATAGTGCAATTCAGTAAGACACCAACTTGCAGTCCAAAGGAAAAGGCAAGGAGCAGCAACTTCTTAAGAACTATCCATGCACCCTGGATTTAAAAAAAGAAAAGGGAAGGGGGGAAAAATGAGATTTTTTTTTAAAGCGTTGTTTTCATTGTATGAGGCCATATGCATTTGAATCTGGGGGTCCTCCTGGATCCACGGCTGACACTGGATGACCAGTTGGCGGCCGTGACCAGGGGGGCGTTTTATCAGGTACGCCTGATCCACCAGTTGCGACCTTTTCTGGACCGGGACGCCTTACGCACAGTCACTCATGCCCTGGTCACCTCCCGCCTGGACTACTGCAACGCTCTCTACATGGGGCTTCCCTTGAGGAGCACCCGGAGGCTCCAGCTAGTCCAAAATGCGGCCACGCGGGCGGTGTTGGGAGGGACTCGTCGCTCCCATGTAACACCGCTGCTGCGCGAGCTGCATTGGCTGCCGGTGGCCTTCCGGGTGCGCTTCAAGGTGCTGACCATCATCTTTAAGGCGCTCCATGGCAGCGGACCGGGATATCTTCGAGACCGCCTTCTGCCGCAGATTACCTCCCATCGGCCTGTACGCTCCCACAGGGTGGGTCTCCTCAGGGTGCCGTCGGCCAGACAGTGCCGGCTGGCGACCCCAAGGGGGAGGGCCTTCTCTGTGGGAGCTCCCACCCTCTGGAATGAACTGCCCCCAGAGATCAGGGTGATCCCTGATCTCCCTTCCTTCCGCCGTGCCCTTAAGACATGGTTATTCCAGCTTGCAGGACTGGCCTAGGGGAAAATTTTTAATGGGGGTTTTAAAGTAATTTTAAACTAACTAGACCAATCATTAATATTTGTTTTTAATTATGTTTTTAATCTGTAGTTTTTTGGGATTAGCTTTTTATTCTGGTTGTTAGCCGCTCTGAGTCCGCAAGGAGAAGGGCGGGATATAAATTAAATAAATAAATAAATAAATAAATAAATAAATAAATAAATAAATAAATAAATAAATAAATAAATAAATCTCATATAAACTCCGAAAACCAAGAAAGACATGTTGAGCTTCTTTTAAGTAGTTTCCTTTACAGGTAGTCCTCGACTTACAACAGTTCGTTTAGTGACCGTTCAAAGTTACAACAGCACTGAAAAAAGCAACTTATGACCATTTTTCACCCTCATGACCTTTGCAGCATCCCCATGGTCCTGCGATTGACATTCAGATGTTTGACAACTGACTCGCATTTATGACGATTTGCAGTGTCCCGGAGTCATGTGATGCCCTTTTGCAACCTTCTGACATGGGAAAAACCAGATGCATTTAACAATTGTGTTACTAATTTAACAACGGCAATGATTCGCCTAATAAACGTGCCAAGAAAAGTTGTAAAATGGGGCAAAACTCACATAACATAAATTTTGGGCTCAATCGTGGTCATTAAGTCGAGGGCTACCTGTATTGTTCCTCACGTATGGACAGAAATCTTGCCAAACTAAAGCAGATGTTGCACCATAAAGGAGGGCTTTTCAACCTTTTCACCCATTGTACCACTTTTAGGATATGGCAACATTCGAGTACCACCAGTCGCCTAGAAAGGTGTCAAAAACTTGATGACAAAAAAAAAAAGGAAAAAAGTGATAAAGTACAGGTAGTCCTCAACTTACAACAGTTCGCTTAGTGACTGTTCAAAGTTACAATGGCACTGAAAAAAGTGCCCCCCAAGCCACAGCCGAGTAAGACACCTGCCTGCCCACCCGGCAGCGCTCTTCCTCCTGTCCGAGGTTTTCATTGTTGTGAGCATTTCTGTTGAGGATTGGCAGCGGGGGTGGGGTGGGGGGGTGTTTGGTTTTTATTCCCCCCATCTCCTGGGTGGTTGCAGCAGGTTTTGGTCACTTCACATGACCCTGGGACACTGTGACCGTCATAAATATGAATCAGTTGCCAAGCATCTGAATGTAAATCACAAGACCCTGGAGATGCTGCAACATTCCAGCTGATCGGCACTTCTTCTGGGCTCAGCAGAAACACCAGGATCAGTGCTGCTTTCCAGCTGATTGGTGCTTCTTCAGGGCTCAGCAGAAGCACCAGGATCAGTGCTGCTTTCCAGCTGATTGGTGCTTCTTCAGGGCTCAGCAGAAGCACCAGGATCAGCGCTGAGCTCCAGCTGGAGCCTGGCGCTGATCCTGGTGCTTCCGCTGAGCCCTGACAGCCCCGAAGAAGCGCCGATCAGCTGGAAAGCGGCACTGATCCTGGCGCTTCCGCTGAGCCCTGACAGCCCTGCAGCTCCAGCCATCTCTTGCTCAGGCCTGTGCAGTGCTGTCACCGGTTCAGCTCATTCCCCTCCCCCACTACTTTTCTAGGATGGTCACGTACCACCTGCCAGGTGCTAATGTACCACAGGTGGTACCCGTACCACTGGTTGAAAAGCCCTGCCATAAAGCACTTACTCTGGGAATGCAAAGAACTTAACACTGCACATCTTTAAGGAAGCCTGAATCTTAACTCACCTAACTAATGTGATTCTAAGACTGGGTTCAGAAACCTTGCTTCTATTAAGAGTCTACTTAAGGTTGAGACTCTGTCACTGGCTTCTGGCACGTGTGCATATATGCAAAAAACTCCAAAGTCCTGTACTCAATCCCTTCTATCTCTAATTTTCAAGAGATCAGGTTACAAGTAGTCCTCAACTTACATCCTCAATTGCGAACGGAACTTCGGTTTCTAAGTGATACAACCATTGAGTCATGCCATATTTTACCATTTTTGCCCTGGTTGCAGCCATGTGATTGTTATTTTCAATCTTCACAACCGGCTTCGGACAAGCAAAGTCAATGGGGAAGCTAGCAAGAAGTCGCAAGTCACAGTTGAGTGACATTGTACTTAATGCCCATGAGTGATTCATTTAAAGGCCACTGTCAGAACGGCTGTCATATGTTGATATAGTCATGTGATGTTTTGCTTTATGACGGCATTGAGTTGCCGATCCCAATTACAGTAATTAACTACTTGTATTAAAACTGGTACTGGAGCTGAGGCCTTTGAAGTAGTCCGCTGTTAATCCTTTTCCTGGATGCTCTTCAGGTAGTCCTCGACTTACAACCACAATTGAGCCCCAAATTTTTCTTGCTAAGTGAGACATTTGTTAAGTGAGTTTTGCCTTATTTTATGACTTTTCTTGCCACAGTTGATGTGAATCACTAGAGCTGTTAAACTAGTAACACGGTTGTGAAAAGGAATCTGACTTCCCCATTGATTTTGCTTGTCAGAATGTCGCAAACGGGGATCACATGACCCCGGGGCACTACAACTGTCATAAGTATGAGTCAGTTGCCAAGCACCTGAATTTTGATCACGTGACCGTGGGGATGCCACAACGGTCCTAAGTGTGAAAAATAATCATAAGTCAAGTTTTTTTCAGTGCCATTGTTAACTTCGAACAATTACCAAACAAACTGCTGTAAGTTGACGACTCTCTGCACTTGTTATTTTGCATTTCTTCTGAGGTAAAAAGGAATACATGAAAGAGGAAGCTATGAAATCAGGAGATTTAAAGCAATCCTAAGGAAGGAAATCAGGCAGTGGAATCAGATGAAGAGTATTTACGGTGTAAAAACGTGTTTCTATTTACTTAACAGAAATCTTACTGATCATAATAGAGCCATTTTTCTAAGTCAATTAACAAGGTTTGCGGCTATTAGGCTGAATTCTGCACACATTTACCTGAAGTCTACAGCACTTGCCCCTGAAGAAGTGGCTGAAATCAATGGAAACGTATACAGTAGTCCTCGTTTACCAACACCTCATTTAGCCACTTACAATAGTGACAACAAAGTAATTTCGTGACCAATCCTCATATTATGATCTTTGCAGGTCTGTAAAGAAAAAGAAAGGTGAAATAAGATGGTAAGCACAACTGTGGTTTCACTTAGCGACTGCTTCACTTAACAACGAAGTTGCCAGTCCCTTTTGTGGTCACTAAATGAGGATATACCTGTATCACATTGTATTTGTTGGTTTTTAAAGGGCCATAAGACTCTTTTGCTTTTTCTGAAGCATAGACCTAACGCTAGCACTGCTGATGTTACCTAGTTGGGTAATGAAACGTCTGCAAGAAAACAACCAAGCTCAGAGAGCAACAAGGACCCCTCAAATCTAAACCTGTTTTCCCTCTAGGCACTTCTGAACTATAGATGGATAGGTTCCCTATAGTTCTTCTAAACTGATGATGCAGAAAAGGGAGACCTTTAGCTGAAGAAAATGAGAGACTTTTTAAAGTCTTTCTAGTATCAATGAGAGAAATTGTTCGTAAATCCCTTCCCTTTCCCAGGATCTCCACAAGTTCAATTTCCAAATGAGTTTAAAATAGGTCTTAGCTCTACAATACTCTCATACAAATGTGGTTATGAAAAATACTGAGTTGCTCAATCACATACTAACCATACAAATCTTAAAACGTTAATAATATGTATTATAACACAGGTAGCTCTCGACTTATGACCACAATTGAGCCCAAAATTTATGTTGCTAACCGAGATATTCGTTAACTGAGCTTTGCCCCCTTTTACAACTTTTCTTGCCACGTTTTTTAAGGGAATCATCGCAGTTGCTAAGTTAGTGACATAGCTGTTATCTGGCTTCTCCACTGACTTTGCTTGTCAGAAAATCGCAAAAGGTGATCACATGACCCCAGGACACTGCAACTGTCATAAATATGAGTCATTTGCCAAGCATCTGAATTCTGGTCACGGGACCGTGGAGACAGGCTGCAATGGTCATAAGTCACTTTTTTCAGTGCTGTTATAACTTGGAATTGTCACTAATTGAACTGTTGAGGACTGTCTGTAAATTACTTAGTG